ATTTCTCGGAGACGGAGTCAGACAGCACACCCTCTGTTGTGTCTGTTCCTTTCCCCGGCCTTATGTTTGGAGATTAGGCATTTTGTTGCATTTCTCAGTAGTTTTCCTTTATTGCTGAGTCACCATCCATATGCATGGCTTGGCTCTACCAACATGTGCTCATCTGTCCGCTGGTGGTGGACATTTGGGTTGTCATATTTCCTATAAATATTCAATTGCATTTATATTGCTGCTATTCCATGTAGTTAATTCTACCAGGGTTTCCTTTTATGTTTTGTCTCACTTCTTTTCTGCTTGGAAAATCTTTCATCCCGAGATCTGATAACTATTGATTCATATTTTCAACTTTTTTTTAAAAAGCGTCCTATTTTATATTTAACTGTCTGAAATGTTGTTATGATGTGAGATGAAAAGTCAATTTTACTTTTCTCCAAATTTGACCAACTATTGTATCACCATTTGTTAGTCATTTTTTTTTCTCATATACTTTGGCACACATTGTCATCATCAATGTTGTCAGATACTAAATTTCTATAAAATAACCAGATTTGGCTGTCTGGTTTTATTGATCTTTTTATTGGTGTGCCTCTTCCATATGAATTGTAGCTTTACAGTATAGGATCTCTCCATTTCCCTAGGCAAAAGTTTCCCTGAAAGCATTACTTACTATGTTGTAGCAGAAATCTTCCATTTCAGTAATACGTTGGCTCATCTCATTCATTTTTTTCTGAAGGCGTCGCGTACCATTTCTGCCTTTACATCCTCTTCTGAGCTCATGTAAGTATGACATCTCTTCCCTGGAAGGTAACCCATGACCTCGTTCCTGTGCCTGATAAACGCTGATTCCTTCTGGAAACTTGCTTTTCCTTCCTTCTTCAGATGCGTTCGTCTTTCCTCTTACACTTCTAGGACTCGGCCTTGACGTCCTGCTCCCTTCTCCTGCCGTTAGGTATAGTGATTCCTAAGATTCTGAGCTTATTCTGTTTTAATTTCCTACTGAATTCCTGGGCTATCCGTGCTGCCTTGGTTGTAACAATATTTATACTAATAAATGGGTCATATGCTAATTAGACCGGACATCATTCCAGACGTCCCGGGTCCTGGGTGCCTGCGGGTGGCCCGACGGAAGCCAGCCTGGGTCCCAGGTGCCTGCAGGAGGCCAGAGGAGGGAAGCAGCCTGGGTCCCGGGTCCCAGAGGGAAGCCGGTGACAGCAGCCGGGGGAAGGAAGGCCTACTCTTGCACGAATTTTCATGCATTGGGCCTCTAGTCTTTATATAAATGACTCTTATGTCTACCTCTATCTATACCCTCAGGGCCCACTTTCAAAGCCGTGGTATCAAATGCGTATTTATATGTTAACAGGTCAAACAAAATCCATTGCTCCTCTGTCCCCGTTTTCTTCCTCAGCACGGCTGGTTGTAACATCCACTCAATCGTCCAAGGAAACGCCAGCATTGTCACTCTCTCCCTTGACCCCAATGGTGCAAGCAAGTTCCCTCTGGAATTTTGACTCTTGAGCTGCTGCAGTTGAGGTCCCTCAGCTGTCACTCAGCTCGTGTGTAACTTCTGATATTGTCAGATCCTGTCCAACATGCTCATTCACTAATTTCAATGCGCTATTTTATAACTAGCATACTGTTAGCAGAATTGCTCATATCGCTGGCTGTACTAACCAAATCACAGTGTCCTGCGGATTGCTACCACGTTCTCTCATTGTGTCAGCTTTTCACAGCAATTGCACTAACAGGTGCTCAGTGATGTTTCTGTGACAGTGTTTACCTGACGGTAGTCTCAGATCTGGTTAACTGATGCTCCAATTGCTGCCAGAGTTGTTGTTGTTTAATTATGCTAATTGTTTTAACCCAAAATTCTTTGATGCTTCTTATCTCAGAATAAATCTCGACCCCCATATCTTGGCACTCGAGGTCCTAAAAGATGTAGCCTCATCTTTTTTTACTTACGTCCTGTCATTGCCTGGAATGTGGGTTATTCTTCAGCTGGGTGTGTTCCTTGTGTGTGTGTTTCTTGCCATTGTTTTATTTTTCTTTTTAGAATTAATTCTTTATCAAACATTGATTAGTTAACTACTATGTGCAGGTACTGTACTAACTAGGCTGTGTTCGAAATACAAAGATGGATACAACTTGAATAGCAATCTTTGATAGGCTTCCCTTATATTCTCCATTTGCGAAAAGTTCCATCCTTATTTGTGAAGTCTCCTTGGATCATCTCAATGAAGATGAATCATTCTTCGCCTCCAAATCATTTTTAATATCAGAAGTAGACAACGTATCACAGCTCTCTTGGATTTTATCGCTGCATGTGTCTCCTTTGAGTTGAATGTCTTGAGGTCAGAGATTGTCTCTACCAAGTATGTTCTCTCTTCTCTTCCCCGTGCCAACACAGGGACTTTAAAATAATTGATTGGAAACTTGGCTCAAAGCCAAGAAATGTGCAGCGAGTTAGGTAGGAAGTCAGGAGAGAACTGTGTCACCAAAGCCAAGAACGTGCTTCAGGAGAGGATGATGGGTGATGTCTAAGCTCCAGAACAGGAAGGAGGGGTCCAGATGTAAGTAATCGGATTTGGCAGTTACGAGGTGCTTGGTTATCTTAACAAGAGTAAGTTCCGTAGAGTAGCAAGGGCAGACTTGGAGGACAGCAGATTGAGAAATAAATAGAATTCTCCTTAAGTAAAAATTTTAGCATCTATTTTTATGGAAATTGGCTGGGAGACAAATCGAAGATATGTGTGGTCTAAATAAAGATCTAGAATCCCGCATGCATTATGCTGATGGAGGAGCATCCATAAGTGTTGTCCCGTAGATGAGTGGGTAGTAGGTTTGATGTTATTTTAAGAAAATTTATAAATCTAACCACTATTTTCATTCCATTAGAACGCTACCATAAATCTACAAATCGGCATAGAGGGCACAGGTTCCTTCATCAGTTAGTGATATTTTGTATAAAGCAGTGGTTCTCAACCTTGGCTGCCCATTAGAATCCCCTGGGATTCTTTTTAAAATCCTGATTCCTGGGCCTCATCCTCCGGAAATTCCGTTTCTTTGTTATGGGGTGGGGCCACAACATTAGTAACAAAGAAACAGAATTTCCGGAGGATGAGGCCCAGAAATCAGGATTTTAAAAAGATTCCCAGGGGATTCTAATGTGCAGCCAAGGTTGAGAACCACTGGTAAAAAGCATGGCAGAAATTATTTTGACCCAGAAATTGTTCAGAATGGTTTTACTGATGTTCCATGCTTCTGTCTACTCCCTGTCCTTGTTTGAATGGTAATGGATTGTGTATATATGCCTGTTTATATGCATTATATATTATAATACATAATATCATATATATGTGTGTATATATATGCATATATATATATATATATATATATATATATGCTTATATAAAGTAAATGGATTTTTTAAAAACACCAATGAGGAACTGTATACATTAGTTTGATTTTTGGCATAGTATGTTGGATTCCTGGTCTGACACAGTTAACATTTCTGCATTGAGAATGCCTTCTATATTTGATGGTGTGTCATAGATTTTATTTGACTTTTTATTGGCTTTTTTTTTTTCTTACTTGGAGTAAACATAAAATAGTGATGGAGTCCCAGTCAGTAGCATCTTGGAGTTGATAAAATAGGGCAGCATGATAGAGCATTAAAGCTTCGAAACTATCGGCCTACTAGTTTAGCTTTGCTTTAACTAGGGTTGAGCTATTCATTTTGGGTGATACTAGTAGGTACATGGTTTTACCTGTCTCTCTTTATTGTGATAGTGGGCTCGGCACAAAGTTTATGTCAATACCATGACAGACTCCTCGGTGGAGGTGGAGGTGGGAAAGGGAGGACGGAATCTTAGGGCACCTCCTGTGTGTCACCTGGTTACGGTTTGGTGTGCGAGGCACAAATGTCGTTAACTGGACCTGTTAGGAATTTGTAGAAGTGCTGGGAGTCACTCATCCCCGGGACGGTACTGATTTCTGATCTTGCAGCCAAGAGTCCCTTGTCCGACGGGCTCACTTCTGTAATCACAGACGTGTGCGGAGCATCTGCCGTGACGCCTGGCTGTGTACTCAGCACCGTCAACAAGCTCTCCTGCTCTTGGGTTTTCTTGGTCCAGTGAGATAGTCCGACGGGGGTCCGTGTGCCTGACGCCTGCTCCTTCTCTACCTGGTCCCACTGGGAGATGGAGGCGGCAGCCTGATAGAGAGCTGACTGCTTGGGGGGCTGGGTGCTGGCCCACCGAGGGCACCCATACATACTTGTCGGCTGCCGCGGGGTGACTCGCCGAGGAGCGGCTGGGCTCACCGTGTGTGTTTGTGTGAGAAGAGATGGGTGCTGTGGCTCGCTTTGAAAATAGAAAGAAGAGGCATTGAGGATTACAAGGGGGACAGTGGAGCTTCTCGGGCGGTTGTGGACATCGCTACAGTAAAAACACACGCCTTACCGTTTCTCACCACAGAAAACACGGATGCAAACTGTGGGGACGTTTCTAGAGGCAGCGTGACGAGCCAGCAGCCGTAGCACAGGCCAAGGCCACGCACATCAGCTGCGGCACGTCAGCAGCCCTTCCTTTGAAATCAGTTATGAATCGGGTCATTACATAGAGCGACCACATCCCGGCTCGTGTGCATCTATTTTAATGACGCTCAACGCCTAATCCTGGGAAGAGCGAGGCAGCCGTAGAGCGAGGGGGGCACGCAGTCAGCGGCGCGTCCCCTGCCTCGGGTAACGGGAGGTTAAATGGGGAGCAGGCAGAACGCCTGCGGCAAGATGGGTGTATTGATTAAAAGGCTGCTCCGCAGCCCGCAGACTCCCCCTGGAAGCCTGGGCGAGGGAAGCCAGCTGCTGCCGAGGAGGCTGCCTGTCCGCGGAGAGTACACCCTCCATCATCACAATATGGCGAGGAGAGGTGTTTTATGTTTGTGTTAATTTCCCCACTAAATCAGTAATTATTACAATCCCGGCCCTGCTGTTTACCCCGCAGCTGTTTTTCCATTTGTCGAGAGAGCGGGTGTTCTCCGAGGACCGCACGCGCTTCTACGGCGCGGAGATCGTCTCGGCCCTGGACTACCTGCACTCGGGGAAGATCGTGTACCGGGACCTGAAGGTAAGAGGACGCACAGCCGCAATCCGCCTTTGCTTTCGCAGGGGCTGCGGGGACAGACAAAGTAATTACAGAGTGACACAGCTCGGAGGAAAGCAGATTTGGTCGGGCAGAAACGCATCCTGTGTAAGGATGTAGTTCCTGAAATCTGAGAGGAAATTGCATCCACTGCTATGTATGTCGCTCCTTTATATCCAAGATTTTTAAAAAATATGTTTTTATTGCTTTCAGAGAGGAAGGGAGAGGGAGAGAGAGAAACATCAATGATGAGAGAGAATCATGGATCGGCTGCCTCCTGTATGCCCCACGTGGGATCGAGTCTGCAACCCGGGCATGTGCCCTGACCAGGAATTGAACCGTGACCTCCTGGTTCATAGGTTGACGCTCAACCACTGAGCCACACCGTCCTGATTATGTTCAAGATTTTGATGTATAAGAATTTCTGCTTGACGGCCCTGATGAAGTATGATCTACCAGTAACAGCTTCATAACAGTTTTGGTTTTCTGTAAATGTGCTGGATAATGTTAAACATCTGATTAAAAGTCAAGTAACTTTGCAAGTGACATTTGAAAATAAGTTTCATTATGATAGTCTAACATCCGATGTATTTTGAAGAAATTTTATAATCAATAAGACTTTATTGGAGGAGAATATGTGGCTTGATTTTGGTATTCACTTTTTTGGCAGATTAAACACCTGGAGCATTTTAATATAGCGTGGCATTGGTTTACTTTTGCATTTTAAAAAGAGCTGTCATTGTTTTCTTTTTTTAAAAATATATTTTATTGATTTTTTTATAGAGAGGAAGGGAGAGAGATAGAGAGTTAGAAACATCGATGAGAGAGAAACATCGATCAGCTGCCTCCTGCACATCTCCCACTGGGGATGTGCCTGCAACCCAGATACATGCCCTTGGCCGGAATCGAACCTGGGACCTCTCAGTCCGCAGGCCGACGCTCTATCCACTGAGCCAAACCGGTTTCGGCTGTCATTGTTTTCTTGATCAGAGTGACTTTACTTCTCCAAGTTCCTCTCTGATGAGACCTTCGGAGCAGCTCCGGGATTAACCCAGGACCTCCTGGTTCATAGGACGACGCTCAACCACTGAGCCACGCGGGTCGGAAAGGAAAGATGTTAGGCTTTGAGGCCCATGCAGTCCCTTTGCGGCTCCTCAGCTCTGCCATCGCTGAGGGCAGCCCAGACAGCACAGGAATGAGAGTCTGCCCGGGTTCCCGTAAAACTGCCCCCCCAAACAGGCAGGAGACTGATGTCACCCACGGGCCAGTGTCCTGAGCCCTGGAGTGGCTCCCCGAGGGCGGCAGTGATTCTCGTGACACCGTTCGGGATCACAGGGGTCGTGTCAAGGAAGGTTGTTCCGTGACATATTTTGTACAGATTCTAAATGTGACAATCTTACTTTCTCAATAAGTAAATCACATGTAGTAATCCTGACCCGTGAATATTTGAAACAGAATTGCTTTATTTATTAAGCACTAGTTTATTTAAAATGTAATTTGATTTGTAGGAATAGGGGTTACAGGCGTCTTTGATGAAACTGTTTGTATCTCCATGTTGCGACATAAGGAAGAAACCACGATGACCCGCCTCACTCCCATCCCACCCTTCGTTAAATACCCATGATCCTTAAGAATCTAATTAGTTAAGCCGTTGTCTAGGTGACTTCGAAGTGTTCCTGTCATGTGCCTTTATGTTATGAGTGGCCCTAAGGAGTAACCGCCTCATAAAGACTTATGTTACGCGATGTCAGTGAACTATAGTATAATGTTTGCATATTATAATTTATCGAAGTATAAAGAAGCGATAAGGTACTGTATTTAGGAGAGATGAACTATGTGATGTTGAAACACCCAGGTCAGGGATGATGGACTGCATGCCACAGTGGACCAGAGATGAACACAGATCAACGGTGTAACTGTATTTGTCCTGAAGCTTCTTATGACCAGGACTGTGACAGAATGCAGCATCCCTGGATCTGATGTCCCCATGACCAACTAATACTGTCATGTTTAAGTGTCTGGGATTTTTTTAAAAAAGAAATGGGTTATGTGGCATAACAAAACTTGCAATGTATGTTAGATGGCATTTCCAAATTTACTTAGAAATAGTTAGCTCTTTTCTGCCCGGGTCACCTCCCCCCACTCCCACTTTGTATTTTATGAATTCTGTTTGTAGGAAGAAGGCGGGGACTTCTAGATTTAAGGAAATAATAATTTTGAAGTAGTTGGTAACATACCCAAAGCGTTTAAAGCCGGAAGGTAGAATTCTTAGCCTAAAGAAACAAAGAAAAGAATGCCAGCATTGATTGAAGCATGGTATCACTGCGATGGTCTTGGTCAATATTGGCTATTAACTATGTTACCCATTAACCCTGTTACTGTGGATATAGTGATGTATTGACATTCATTAATATGATATTCATTGCCCCATCCTTTCTGATGATGGAAAGACTAAATCTATTATGTTAGATTATGTTAAACATCCATTATGTTAAATTGCAACATAAAGAGCCTATTTATATATGACTATGAGTCATGCACTTACCATACACACATATACCTAGACCACTCACTTTACTAGACAATTATGTGGTCTCTGTTAAGCTCATTTTTTAAAATAAAACCTTACCTCCCTTAAAAGTCTAAGTAACTGTACGAAATAGGGCCGAAACCATATAAATGTACATGCAGTGCAGACAGCGAAACATTAGAAGTTCATGCAAATGTTACCTGGATCCGTAGGGCACAGGGCTGCACAGATTAGAGGGAGATCCTTGAGTTGGTATCATAGAAGTTGAGAGCTGACCCCTGGTTTACAGGGAGGTCGCTGACTTCTAGAAGCCTCGTAAGTGACTCACAGTCATGGGTGAGTTGGTGACATCGTCAGGATGATTGGAGCCCATGAATCCTCTCTCCGGTCTGATGTTCTTGTCATTCCCTCGTTCTAGAGCTGAGATGACATCTAGATGGGGGGATGCACTGAGAACTCCGGGAGATCTTCGTAAACCTAAAATCCGAACACAGTTGCCAAAGATAAGAGAATAAATGTTTTAAGTATATTTATACCAGATGTATTTAAAAAACAGCATCACCAAAAACTGGTTTAGGGACCCACTTGGATCTGTCTCAGAGTTGCCTCTGTCATCATCTTTCTAATGCCCTTGTTTTCATTCAAATACATTTAGATAATTTCTAGGACTCAGCGATGGCACAGAGGGTGGGTTCGGAGAATCTCTTACCACCGCCCTCCCAGTCCCCATCAGTTCCCCGACATTTTCACCCCAAATAAACTCGCAGTCCAAGCAAAAACAGCCCGCTGGCTTCACACACTGAGCCCCCAGACACAGCACCCAACTCCACTGCCACCCAGACAGCCCCGCCGGATCCCTCTTTTATAGAAAGTTTACACCAGGGCTACTAGGAGCCTCTCCCATCTCAAAAATTAAATTGTACCGTTGGGCTGTGTTCCTAGTTTGTAGCAAATTCTTCAATAGCTTAGCAGCCCAGGTGGGGCCTTTGCTGAATCCTTTGTAGTCAGGAAAGGGCGGAGCGAAGAAGTGTTTCCCACCCAGGGTGTCAGCCCTCTAATTCCAGGGCCATTAGGTTCCTGCAGGTCAGCGTGGGCGTGTTTGGCATGTTGATACCCATGAGCCTGGTCTGCAGAGTGCAGAGGGCGTGTGCTCACGGCGGCCTTGGGCCTGTGCAGCCTCGGGGCAGCACTGAGTTTGGTGCCATCGTGCTGAAGTGGGCGTAAGAGTGAGGGAAGGAGCTGTTTGCTTATACTGTTTGACAGTCATCAGAGCCCTGAGGAAGTGCTGTTTTCATCCCTTCATTTAGTCTCGGTGTCCGCCATTTAAATAAAATGATACCTAAAAGATATAGTCACATATATTAGGATACTATATTTAAAAGGTTAAAAGCATTTAAACCTTCTAATAGCTACCTTGGCATGTAGGAGAGCAGAGCTTGCCAGCCTGCGTGCCACGGCCGCCGCCCTCAGCCCACAGGTGGTGAGAGGAGCCTCCAGCCGGTCACTCCCGGCCTCCAGCAGCCTGTGCCCTGATCCTGGCCCTCCCCACAGCTTCCATCGTCTGTTGTACCAGGAAGAGCGGCGCAGGTTTGAGAAGCCCCGCAGAAAACACAGCTTCGGGTTTTTAGAGTCTCATTTTCTTCGGGGTCCCTCCCAGCAGGAGCAGAAGGACCGTAGTGCTTTCTTGCTACACTTTCCTGTGCACAGAGCGCAGAGGGCAAAGATTTCCAGCGCTCACATTTTCTCATTCAGACCCTGAACCAAGACCCTCCGTCACATATGCCTGTCCCCTCCAACTGGGTACAAATGCCGCCTTGTTATGGGGACTCCATGAGGTACATTGTCTAATATTTTCTCTCTCCTCAAAGTGCGCGCTGCTCTGAACGGTTAGATGACAACCCTCTGATGTGAGTAGCCGGCATAACCAGATTTCTAATACGTAATGTTCTCTCTCCAGCCCCCCGTTTGTCTTCATCATTGCTTTTGCCAGTGGGTGCACCCGTTAAGCATGAGCAAATGCCCGTGTAAACCAGGACTGACTATGGCGATAAAACAGATGCACTGACGTTCATCCGGGGAGAGAACCTGACCGGTCAGCGACAGTGTGCACGTGCAGTTTGTGGCTAACAGAGGGAAGAAGGACAGCCAGGATGTTGAGGAGAGAGAACTAAGGGGAGATCATTAGTAGATGCATGCACCCCTTCTTTACCTAGTGGCAGTGCTCTGAGGGCTGGGAGGCCTGTGTATGTCAATGTTAGTGTGTTAGGTATGTGACGCCTGGGTGTTCTGTCCAGGTCTGCGATCTGCTTGGAAAGGACTTCCAGGTGATTGATTCCACGCATCCTCCACAACACTGATGTTTCTATCTCTCTCTCCCTCTCTGATTCTATTGATTGATTGATTGGTTTCAGAGAGGGAGAGAGAGATAGAAACATCAGTGATCAGAGAGAATCATTGATCGGCTGCCTCCTGTACGCCACACACTGAGGATCGAGCCCGCAACCCCTGGGCATGTGCCCTGACTGGGAAAGGAGTCATGACTTCCTGGTTCAATAGGTCCATGTTCAACCACTGAGCCATGCCAGCCAGGCTCATGAATGGCCCTTATATGTTCCAGAGACTTGTTATGCATCTGTGTAAAACACCTATTTTAACAATACTGGATATTGAGTTACCCTGGCTTATCCTATACACTGGATCCAGGGTGTTTTTTTTTTAAGGTGATGCATGTCTGACTGTCATTCATACTGATGGGGGACGAGTTGTTTTTGTCATCCCTGCTCAGCAAAGTGATATTTCAGGACGGTGAGAGTAGAAAAATAGTTGATGGGAAAAGGTGGACACTATTGTACAATAACTGGCTTTAAAGTTATGAAATATTTGTTTGTTTTTGCAAAAGACATTATTGCATATTGAGACGTGTTTTTGCCTAAGTCACTGAGCTGATAAAAGTATTTCATAGGGTTTTGTTCTTGAACTTTCTTCTTTCCTTTAAAAAAAGTGTTATCTAGACAAGCACACATCATTTTAATAATTTACACATCGACCATTAAATGCTATCCTGGTAAAAGCCGGAACGGCAGAACAACCAGAATGACCGGTCCACCAGTCGCTGTGACGCACACTGACCACCAGGGGGCAGGCACTCAATGCAGGAGCTTCCCCCTAGTGGTCAGTGTGCTCCCACGGTGGCTGGCCGGGATGAGCTGGGCTCCCACAGTGGCCTGCCTCTAGTGTTTAATAATGATCAATGCATTCATTGGATGCTTCCAGTGTGTTAAGTTTTGGAGTCAGTATCTCATTTAATTCTCAAAACAATCACATTCTGTTGCTACTGTTACTTGCCTCTGTTTTATAGATGAAGTTGAGGCACATAGAAGTCAATAGCCCAAGGTCACACAGCGAGAAGGGGTAAAGCTTGAATTTACGTGTGAGTTCTCTAACTTGACCCCACACTCTTACTCACTGTGCTCTTACTGCCTCCACGCAGTGTGCTGTCACCCCGCCATCACGCCCCTCACCCCACCTCTCAGTCACCCCTAAGGCTGACCTTATTGCTTCCTGAACCATTGTAATGTTTTAAAGCTGATTCATAAGACAAGGAGGATGGCCTGGTTTGCCCAGGAAACCCCCTTATGTTCTGGGCAAACTGGAACTCTCAGCCACCTTCAATCCGTTCCTTCCCCAGCCCTGTCCCTACACCTCACTTCATCCCTCGTCCCTCAGGCCTTGGTGTGAGGCTCAGAGATGAGATCTGAGGGTGGAGAATTAGTTAGGAGCCAGGATTTAAACTATATGACAGAGTAGCCTGGTCAGAACGTGGAGGAGTAGTGCAGGCTGCCATGCTCCCATGCTTGCTTCCCCATGCACATGAGGCATAGAGAGGCCAGGGAGGCACACCAAGCCAGGCTGGGAGCGGGAAGGAACGGAACAGATAGTACATTCACATTCTATGCAGTAATATCATTTGGAGATTTTACAAGAATTTTTTATGTATTGGTAAAAACAGATTTATTAAATATTTTTAAAAGATTATGCAGCATTTGAAGAGCTGAAGTGTGTTCTATTTGTATATACTATAATGCATTCCTACACTTAAGCCATCAGCATCTTCTTAAAAATTAGCAGCAGGACATGTATGTTTTTATTCAACAAACCAACAGACCCTCCAGGATATACTTCCGAGTCTCATTACAGCAAGCTCACAGAGGGAGCTAGGAAAAGGGAGAAGGGAGAAGACTGGAAGCATAAAGAAGAGATGGACTCGTTGTCATTTATGCAAATTAGGCTTTACTTTTAGGTTCCAGCTAGTAGAGAAGCATATGGAAGGTGCAATATTTCTGAATTTAGATAAAATACGAGAACTTTTATTTTGTGAAAAGCTCAGCAGCATCACTTCTCCGAACTCTATGCCATAAAGGAAGCGTGTATGAAGCATGTAGATCAGCCAGGGAGCACAGCGAGACCCACACCTGCGGACATGTCTGTCTGTCTGCCCGTGCGTGAACTCAGCTTGCTTTACTGCGTTGAGTTTCTGGTTTATAAGACAACGGATGCTATAACAGTATGATGTCATCCCATTTTATATGCATTCATTTATGTTCATATATGGCAGCGGTTCTCAACCTGTGGGTCGCGACCCCTTTGGGGATCGAACAACCCTTTCACAGGGGTCGCCTAAGACCATCCTGCAGATCAGATATTTACATGACGATTCATAACAGCAACATGACAGTGATGAAGTAGCAACGAAAATAATTTTATGGTTGGGTCACAACATGAGGAACTGTATTTAAAGGGCCAGAAGGTTGAGAACCACTGATATGGGGTTCTGTTTTGAATTGGATATTGACTTCAGAGTTGAGGTAAGCACTTGCATAGATCATCACACTAAGGAGTAGAATAAATTGCCTACTTGTTTGATCAGTTAATTTTCACTCATTCTGTTAATAATTGCTCACGTGTGTTTGTATCTACATGAGTGGGTGAGGGTAGGCCCCATGTCTGTGAGGCTATACAATCACAGCTCAGAACCATACGTATCTATGTGTGATGACAATCATAACTTTGGGTTCAAAATAGGAGAGAAAAGTGATCAGTTACTGATATTATTTTTAATGATATTGGCTTTGCACAAACTCCTTTTATGCTGGCCTGTCATAATTTTCACTTGAGGCAGATGATCTTGCTACTTAGATAAATCTTTGAGATTCTCTTGGGTGTGTTTTCATTAATGGCTTCAAAGAGATTCCAATTATATAATGTTTGTGCTATATATTTTCATTAACTGTTGACTGTTTGAGTTTGACATTCTTGACCTTTTTATGTTTGAAAGGGTTGATATTTCTTTATCACAAAGAACTGCAAAAGAGGATGCCACCTTACCTTTCAAAATACGATTTAGGTTTGATTTGCAACCACCACCAAAAAACATTTCTGTAAGTGACTATTTTATAATAGCAATAGATTCCCAAGAGAAAGTGTTGAAAACCATCTGTGTGTATCCAGAAAAAGATACTCATCTCTTTGGGATTATTTAGGTCACAATTTATTTACATAAAAAGAGGATTGGTTTTTGCTTTGAAAAATTAGGTGAGCTTTAGTTCTCAGAACTTACGCAATAATGGCTCTGACTCCCATTGGAATAAAAAAAATCAATTTCATCATCAAAATATTTGATAAAACATGTTTCTTTTTATATAGGAATTACGAATCTACAGGGTTTGTGAGTCCTGAAAGTTCTATTAACTATGTCCTCTTTCCAAAATCTCTTACTCAGCATTCATAATTGTTTCCAAACAGTATTTTCCTAGATTTGAGGACTGTAGGATAATCGTGTCATTTTTCTTCCTATGCAGTTGGAGAATTTGATGCTGGATAAAGATGGCCACATAAAAATCACAGATTTCGGACTTTGCAAAGAGGGGATCACAGACACGGCCACCATGAAGACCTTCTGTGGAACCCCGGAGTACCTGGCGCCAGAGGTGGGCGGGGCTCCGTTCAGACAGAAAGGGGACATTGACATGATGCTTGCACAGGGGACATTTCAGCATGAACAAAACTTGCAGTTCCTACTATTTTTACCTGAATTTCAACATGAATCAAATCTATTTTTCTTCCACTGTTTAACATGATATATTATAGGGCAAGGATATATATTTAAATTAAATTTTATAAACTTGATGAACATAAAGGTACGAACTCTAGTAGAGTAAGTCCATTTTTAATTGGCCGTATCCGTTTAATTTTTTTGATTAAGCCTTTTTTGATTCAGTTATTAAAACAGAATAATTAAATGACTTCAAAAATGTTTACAGTTCCATAAACCATTTGGATTTTCCTTGGAAACAAAGACACTGATCATTTGGATTTGAGGTGCTGTGGGTTTTCTTAATTATTAGGAAGTATTTCACTGGGAGAGTTCATGAAATGACAGCAGCCCCCACTGACGACCCCACGCAGAGGGCCCGGGAGACTGGCTTTCTTTGTTTCTCCACAGGCATAGATTGTGCGTCTGCTGTGTAGGGGGAGTTTTTCTGGGCGTTGTGGCTACAGGAACAAGACACAAAGGACAGTGCTCTCAGGGAACTCGCTCTGGAACAGGACTGGAAACGCTCATGCAAACCGCACTTTCTGTTTCTCTGGAGTTCACTTGCCCTGCTATCCATTTGCCTCGGATGATGTTATCCCGTTTTTAGAATAACAAAATTAGTTGTGTCACAATTAGGGAAAATTAGTTCTGAAGGAGATAAATACATCTCATTTTAAAAGCAGAGGATCAAAGAAACAAAGATATTGTTCTATATGAAAATGTCATCAACTAGAGAACAAAACGAAGAACATAATGTGAGAAGAGCCTGATTGTTTCTAAATAGAAAGTTTATAATTTCTAAGAAATTATCAGTTTCTTCTTAAAGGCAAGTAAGAAAAAGACAAATATATATATATATATATATATATATATATATATATATATATATATATATATATATATATATAAATTTTAATATTGCAGAAGTCTGGTCTTTAAAAGCAGTTTACATATCCATGGCTGTTACAAACTGATTCATAATTAAAAAATCTTGCCCCTCATTTTTATTGGGGAGAATGATCATTGTAGTTACTGTCTGAGAGTGTCAGATCTCGAAGCCACTAACTTCTCATGCAACTTTAATTCTTATATTTAAGCTTTTTTGTCAAACACGTGTTTGTTACATTGGGATAATTTTGAATGCGTTCACTCTTTTAAAAGCAAGCATCTAAGTTCCTCTGGTCTTGGATGTGAACCCTTTCACTAAGGACACTCATTCATTCACTAAGGAAATACTCATTGAATATTCATTAGGTGTCATGCATTATGTTAGGTCCTGGGACGAGAAGAAGGTGGTAAGAAATGGTTTTCGTCCTCAAGTATCTTAGTGTTTACTAAGGTGATAAGCTGTAGAGAATAATGATTACTGTGCGAACGTAATTGCTGTACTGGAGTTACGTAGGGTGTGGCGGGATTAAAGGAGAGACCTGTGAGCCTGCGCAGGGAGCAGGAAGAGAGGAGGCAGGACTCGTGGATCGGGTGGGAATGCAGAGTTAGGTTGGGTCTCGTGAAGAAGGGAAAACCACTTTGAAACAGAGCAAGGCAACACTGATTAGATGGTCAGTTAGGGGGGGGTTGGCAAGAGCTGAAACTAGCTCTCGCCTTACTTGACTCGGTGTCTGTCACCTTTTTGAACCCGGAAATTTCTAGTACTTCCCTTGGTTAATGCCAGCCTTTTCTTTTAAAAAAAAAAAAAAAAAATTATTGATTTCAGAGAGAGGGAGAGAGAGAGAGAAACATCAATCGGCTGCCTCCTGCACGCCCCCTACTGGGGATCGAGCCTGCAACCCGGGCATGTGCCCTGACCGTGAATGGAACTGGCCCCTTCCTGGTGCATGGGCCAGTGCTCAACCACTGAGCCACACAGGCTGGGCGCCAGACTCCTCTGGAGGGCATAGAAGTCGGAGTTGTGTGTCAGACCTGGATACAGTGTTGGGCGCTGCTTCTCTGGGGACCGGCTCCCCATCAGCATTTCCCCTCCTCTTGCTGTAGACTTGTTCCCCTTTCTGTACCTTCTCCATTGTCTTATCTGCCGGAAATGCTTTGCTGTGTAAAGACAGGTAAAAGGCATTTAAAAGATGCTTCAAAAAGACTGAAAAGTCAGCTCAAAAAAAGAAGGGGGGGGGGGAAGCATATGTACTACTATTTGTAATACTTTAAACAAGAAAATTAAATTTTAAAAATAAATAATAAATAAATTTTAAAAAGCTCAAACCGATTAATTGGGCTATGTAGCAGATTCATCGCTGATTTTTAAATAAACTTAAGTGTTAAATGAACTTAAGTTTCTTCCGTGGCAAAGACCGCCAGAAAAGATACATGTTATCGTGTAAAAATGCCATTTGTTGGAAAAGGAATATTTTTAAAATATTTGTTCTCTGGTCTTTTGATGAAGAATTATAGATCTTTAGTGTTACAGGGCAGGGGAGGCCAGGAATAATGTATTTGTCAAGAGATTGCAGAAATGCAGTCCTAGCAGTAAAACAAACTATGCATCTGGTGAGTTGCAGCTCAAAGAATGCACTTGCACACATAGTTATAAATGAATGCGTTTTCGCTCCTACTGCCACTGGAAGGAAATAAACTTGACCTGCCATACATTATGGGCAATAATATATTTTGCAGGGAATTTGTTTTTGCAAACTCTACCCTTCTTTTCGCTCCTCGAAATGATTAAAAGAAAACAAAATTAGAAATCACGCATCGAACCTTCCTGTTAAGGTTTATTATCCGAGTTGGCTCTCACCGAACCCAAGCCATTTTATGCAGTGCTAATTATTTAGTCTCAGCTTTGCTCTTGAGTTAGCAGTACCTGATCAACTCTCCAACTGCAAAACAGTCTGAAAATCAAATGCGGCTCACATGCAAGACCCAACAAAATTAAAAGTGTTAAGTGCGTTTTGGCAGTTCACTTTTATTATGCCCAGTCCTCAAATGTACCGGCAGATAGTCATCTGCACGTTAGTTATTTTTCACGTGTTTATGCGATCACACAAAAAGTACACGCTAAAAGGAAGCAGATGGTGACAGATGGGGGAGGTTGAATAAGGTGGTTTTGGAAACCCAGAGAAATGCACTTCTGTAATAGTGTAAAAATAAAAATTATTTGATAATCAAGTTAGAACTAACAAAAAGATGGCAAAGAAAAAAAATGACTGAATTGTTGGGAAATGCATAGACTGTAGTTGCGGTTGCTGATCAGAGAAAACGTGTTTATAATTTTGTTTTACATAAGGGGAAACATTTTTTTCCAGTGGATGAAAATGTATTTTTGATGCCTTCTTAGATTTTAGAACCTCATTTTTAGAAAACATCCACGTACTGTCAGTGTATTCATTTTTCTTTTGAAACCTACTAGCTTTAATACAGTCTATGTAATCCAGATTTTGAAAGTATCTGAAATAGACCAGAATATTTTGATACAAAGATTCACTCAAAGCCATTGTGATGTTGTATAGATGATAGTACCAACGGAAATTAAATTCTATAGAGGGGGGTGTCTAAAACCAGAGATCAACATAATTACTTCAGAATGAGTTGGGAGAAACATGTAAATTACAGCAAAGGTCGTTGGTGCAGGCAGGGGGAGTAGTTAGAACCTAACTAGATTTAAATGTATTGAATGGAATTTTATTTACTTATTTTAAATGCAACGAGAATAAATGTAAAAGGTGCCATTTTATGGGCTCTTTCAATGCTATCGTTAGAAATTGAGAGGAATAAATGCGGCCCAAGTTATTTAACGTTTGCACATTTCGTCTGTAGGTAAACACAGTAGCTCACAGACGTACATTTTCCTTAGCCCCTGGACCCAATCCTACTATTTCTACCAGATTGTGAAACTAAGTCTTAACACTTCTAAGATTTTTGTGAAAATGAGAAGTGGTGCTGGTAGCCTTTCTGAAACCGTGTTGCCTCCCTAATACTTTATTTCGCTATGAAAAACTCATGAAACACCTGTCCTCTTACGGGATGTCGGAACGCCTTCGCCTTCCGGATGGTTCTGTAAAGGGCTCATCACCAGTGTTCAGGGGCAGATGGAGTCGAGGTTCATGGTGGTTAGTTCAAGTGGAAGGTGTGTGTTTTGTAATCAGGGTTCACATGTAAGCACGTGTGTCAGATGTCCGGCTCACTGTTTATACTGATTCCGGATCATATTCAAAGCCATCCCACTTGCCCCCAAATTGGACACTTAAAAAATATGTATGTTTTTATATATTTAAATATATATATGAAATAAATATATTTAAATATATGTAAAATAAAATCAGTATATAATTTTTAATTGATTTCAGAAAAGAAGGAAGAGATGGAAATATCAGTGCAGTGATGAAAGAGAATCATTGATCGGCTGCCTCCTGCACACCCCACACACCGGGGATCAAGCCCACAACCTGGGCATGTACCCTGACTGGGAATCGGACCATGACCTCCTGGTTCCTAGGTCGGTGCTCAACCACTGAGCCACGCTGGCTGGGCCCCAATTGGACACTTTTAAAATATGAACCTAAATGACACTTTTTAGTTCAATGTTGATGTCTGTTAGTGTTTCGAAGCAGCAGCTTTTTCTTGCCTAGCGATCTGAAAGTTCCAGAGGAGCTACTTTTCACTCGAAATTTTTTCAGTGTTGTGTGGTCTTTTGGATTTAATTTGCATTTAGTACTTTGGAAGGGTTCCAGGTTAGCATAAAGTTTAGTTTTCAATTCTCCAAACATAAGAACGTGTACAAAACGAACGGTAGCTGGTAACCTGTAGTATTTGACAATGGCTGTTTTTTCTTGGGTCACAAAGACCCAGTTTCTTGGGATCCCATAATGTCTGAAGCTTCCGATGAAAAGGAAGCATAGAAACCTCTGGGAAGGTGTGTGCAAGCATGACTTCGTCACCAGCATCGCATCCGTCAAGGATGTTGCCTGTTCTGGCCACAGATTGCTTTTGCAGCCCATGCTAGCTGCATGCAGGGAGTGTGTGCATGCGAGGAGGTAGCCTGGAAGGGACTGCACTCTGGGTCCCAGCAGGGGGCAGTTACAATCTCTTATTAGGTATTCATGAAGACAATACCAAGAAACATGGTATCCTTAATTCTTATGAAATATAGACTTCCCCCAAAGCTGCAGTGCGTTTTAGAATCTGAATTAGGATATTTACAGGTCTTTTTTTATGCAAATCCCTGTGATGGGAAGGATTCCCATAAAAGAGAAAGTATGTCAGCGTGCGTATATATAAAACACACACCTATCAGCTACCTGAAATGTAAGGGTACCAGAAGAAAAATGTTGAATTAGCGGTAAATTGGTTCATCCAAGTTCACAGTTTACTTTCACAGCATAGGTGTGCAGACAGTGTGTTTAGACGTTTAATTCCTCCCCCACCCCCATCTGTTCTGTCTGGATTATTGTTGAGCAGTGAGCCACTCGGGGGCACACATCACCCCCTTATAATTGCCTGCCTCGGGTGCGTTGTGGGGCCTGGGCGAACACGCTCAAAGAGGTATCCCTTCAACCTCCCAGTAAACCCTAATTGGTAAAAGGATATTGGAATGAATATGTGTTTTCTTAAAGTGTCCGTTAGCCAAATCAATATTTACACTGGGAATTTCCATTGATGGTATCATTTTAAAAGACACGGTGTCTTATTTAATTTAAGTCAATAGCCATTCAAGAGCTATTTATGCGGAGTTTTTATACTCACCTGGTTGTTCCAGAAATGGAAGTGCCTATGTCAAATGTTGCCTAAGGCTATTCAAATGTTCCCAGATTATTTCACAGTCCTGGGCACCTGCTGTCACCACCTTGAGCCTCAGGCTTTATTTTATCAGAAAGTGACGCAGGCTCTGGTCCTGGGGGACAAAGGATGCCCCTGTCCCGGGTTTGCGTGGGGCTTCCATGGGACCGCCAATCGCTTTTTGTTTGTTTGTTTGCTGTTGTTTTTTAATATATTTGTATTGATTTCAGAGAAGAAGGGAGAGGAGAGAAAGAGAAACATCAATGATGACAGAGAACCATTGATCAGCTGCCTCCTGCACGCCCCACACTGGGGACCAGCCCACAACCCAGGCCTGTGCTCTTGACTGGAATCGAACCCGGGAGCCCTCAGTCTGCAGGCCGATGCTCTATCCACTGAGCCAAACCGGCGAGGGCCTCCATCGTTTGTTAACATTCACATTTCTGTGTGTCCCTGACCCTCTTGTCCTTGGCGTCTTCCTGGGCATTTGTGTTCAACGCAGTTATAACGTAAAGGTCCGTCTACGTCACAGAGAGCAACAGGGACAGAAGGCAATACCCGGTGTCTGGGCCATGCTTACGGCTGGCGTGTAGCTCCAGGTCAGCAACACTGACTTTATGGCAAAGAGACACTCTCTTTAGATCAGTGCTTTAAGATAAGCCTTTTAGCGGGTTACTTCCCTGGGAGCAGGTTCTGACCTGCGTTTCTGCTTAAATGATGTGATGATGTGCATTGTACAGAGCTGAGGTGCACAGCACCATTGCTCCTCTGTGAGCGCCCAGCACGCCCTGGGCATCCGTCTTCACGATGACCCGGAAGTGACCTAGCCTTTTTGCTGGGGGGAAAAAAAACATCAGAGGTCGCCAGAAGGAATGGCAGCTCTCAGGTTAAAGAATATAAATTTTCTATGTTTCTGTCATTTTGGAAAAAGAAGTGCTCTGAGTAAGGGAGAAAATTAATCTTCTAAAACTAATATAAAAGAGGCTGTGGATTTTAAGTTCACTGTGGAATTTCTAGAGTATTTCCAAGCACTGTGATTTGAAATAATTTATATTTAAGGAGTGCGAAAGGAGAGTATGCGAATACTAGTAGCATGTTTTATATTATATATCCACGGGTAGGATATTGGAGTCACTTCCATTTCTCGCCTATGTCCTCTTCCAGCTGGTTGGAGGTAGGAGTTGAACAGAAATCTTCCTTTGTAATTGACAGCAAAGACTCTCAGATCAAGAAGGCTGGCTGAGCTGTGAAGGGTGGTTTGTCCTTAGCATTGCTTACGCTTATGTGTCAGGAAGGTAATAGGTCACATCAGATTTGTTCAATACAGAGTGCTACCGCAGTTGTAGCATCACATCTCTCTGTCCGTTAGAGCGCATTACGTTCAACAGCAGACCACTGAGTTGGAGAATCCGTGTTCGTTTTACAAACCTAAGTAAAACACATTTTAATTTATCAGACAGATTTTTGTGCAGTGCAGTTTTATTTTTTCAGATGCTTATTTCTCTTCCAAAAATACCCCCTCCCCTTTTTTTTCTTTTCTTTCTTTTTTTTTTTTTTTTTTTTTTTAATAATGTACTCACTTTCCCTTCTGGCTGCAAACCAGGTATTTAAACAAAAATAACGGATTGCCAGTTTTGCCAGCTGGGGAAGAGAACCCGGCTGATGAAACGTGGGTTCGGGAGGCAGTTAATCCAGCTTTTATGCTTTTTATGGTTTTAGGAAAAAAGAGGTTAAAAGCCGCCTTTGGCTCTCTCTTGCGCGTGCCACTGTTTCGCTGGTGGTACAGGAATGCAGAGATTTTTAAAAAAATTTTGTTCTTAGGTAAAATCCCGAATCTGTTTGCAAAAGGCCCACAGACAGTACAGTACATTCTCCTAACCGGGCATGAGATAGATTCTTGAATAATCGAAAGTCACTGGTATTGAAAAATGAGCTATTACAGCATTTCCTCTAAGTTCACGAATAGAGTTTCTTGCTTCTTTTAGATTTTTTTTTGTGTTTTCCTAGGTTCTCACATTACTCATCTCAAGCAGATAGATATTTGAAATATTTGGGGCTAAAGATAAAAATGAGAATTCGTTGTTTTTCCTGAAAATTTTTGCTTAGCTGTGATTTCCAGAAGACTTGGAAAATGTCGGAGCTGGACTTGCGTTCTCTCTTGCCAGCGTGGTTCTAGGCTTCTTTAGCCACAGAACAGTGATACAGTCGAATTAAAAATCTTGTCATAGCCCTTGAAAACACTACTAATATATCTTTAAGTAACATAGTTTTTTTTTCTTTAAATTATATGCTCCAGCTTTAAATACCCAGTGAGCCAAAGGGCCTTCACTGTCAACATGTCACGTGGGATTCCATGAAATTATTGGTAAATTTTAAATAAAAGTCACATAGGAGTCATCTTCAACAGTGTACTTACTTGCTTCAAACTGAGAAAGTTTAGAACATGAGCACTACTTTGTTTTGTATCGAATGCTCTTATGTAATCAGTTATAAGATTTTTTTAATTGATACGTTTCATAGGTATGGTTTTCTTGATCTATTTATCCCAAAGCTAAGAGGATCACAACAAGTAAGCTTTAAGATTGTTCCAATATGATAATTTAAAATAAAACATTGAAAGTTGCAAATAAATGGAGAAAATTCCATTGAATAAGGAACAAATCCAATAAAAAGACGTGATCAAAATTTTCCTGGGATAGGCCCTAGCTGGTTTGGCTCAGTGGATAGAGCGTCTGCTTGCGGACTGAGGGTCCCTGGTTCGATTCTGGTCGAGGGCATGTGCCCAGGTTGTGGGCTCCATCCCCCGTAGGGAGCGTGCAGGAGGCAGCTGATCAATGATTCTCTCTCTTCATTGATGTTTCTATCTCTCCCTCTCCCTTCCTCTCTGAAATCAATAAAAATATATATTTTTTAAAAAGTTTACTGGGACAAATGGCAAGTTATCATGTTCCAATGTGAACCGGTTGCTCTAACACAGCCTGATGCTTTCCTATCATTTCTTACTAAATTAATTTTGCATGTAATGTATTTTGCAAAACAAAGTTAAGGCACCTGCCCTGGCAGATATGGTTCAGTGGTTAGAGCATCCGCTGGCACACCCCAGGATCTCAGGTTCAATTCCAGGTCAAGGGCATGTACCTGGGTTTCGGGTTCTCTTCCTGCCCCTAGTCTGGGCGTGTGCAAGAGGCAACCAGGCGATGTGTCTCTCTCGCATTGATGTTTCACTCTCTGTCTCTCTCTCTCTTCCCCTCCCTCCCTCCCTCCCACAAAAGCAATGGAAAAAATATCCTCATGTGAGGATAAACAACAACAAAACACACGTTAAGGGATATATTACACAGGTATCGCGTCCCTGATTTTGTTTGTGTTTAACAGAAATTGCCATGGGTACGGAAGCTTTGGATACTAAAGTTTTGTAGCCCAAACGACAAATCTTCAGATTCTCGTTGGCGGCCACCTATCTCCCGCGTTGACACACGTGAGGGCCTCCGAAGCTGTCAGACATTTTCCTGGTGGCCCTGCCCTGCGTGCTTCTCCATGACGTTGCCTGTTCTCCCCATGTTTGATCCGTGTCCCCTAGTTCTTCTCAAGCAGGAATGTGCCAGGCACGTCACCTGCCCCCTAATCAGCGTGGCTCAGCTCTAAGCTGCTACTTAAAGGGCCCATTCGTGAGCCAGACTGAACAGTTAAGTTGGCCTAAGAGACAATGTGCAAACCTGCTGACGGTTTACCGGATGCTCAGCCCACTCGCAGGCTCCGTCACTTGGCACTGGTTGTGTGACATACCTTTTCTGTCTGCACTGACCATCCCTGGGTATACGTTGAACCTTTCAAAGAGTTGGTGTGATTGCTGTCTTTGTAGGGTGCTTCATGTTCAACCGTCAAGATCTAAAAAAATTGCTGGCCTGGGCTGTGAAAGTTAGGATTCATTTTCACGTGAAAAATCTCACGCTGTATAAACGATGCCTTAGAATCGAGTGTGTGGTAACGGATCTTCCCACTGGTCTCGCTCTCAGGTGTTGGAGGACAACGACTACGGCCGGGCGGTGGACTGGTGGGGCCTGGGGGTCGTCATGTATGAGATGATGTGCGGCAGGCTGCCTTTCTACAACCAGGACCACGAGAAGCTGTTCGAACTGATCCTGATGGAAGACATCAAATTCCCTCGCACGCTCTCCTCCGATGCAAAATCACTGCTTTCAGGGCTCTTGATAAAGGATCCAAATAAACGGTAGGCCACCGGCAACACCCAGCGCGTCGCTGATGAGTGCGGTTAGCGAGCGTGATGCGGAAATTAATGCAAATAGGACTCGCTCCAAGAAGCGATGTCTTTGGGTTAGACGTCTTCCAACGGAGACGCGGGCTTATTTTTAACTGCAGGATGGAGAACGTTTAAAAACGTTTCCGCAACGTCTCCTAACTTGGAACTTTCATGCAGAGCTTACCAAGTAAGGATTTGCGGAGTTTTATTGGCCACATGATGAGCGAACTTTCTGAATGGCCCTGGTGCTGGCTGTTGTGAGAATCGGAGCGTCTCTTCCTTTTAGTCTCTGGGCTTTTATATTTGTTCTGACTCACCTGGTCGAAAGCATAGACCTGTCTCTGAACTCTCCTCTCACCCAAACACACCTACCTACGTCTTGCTTGTCATTTAAAGATACTCTTTTCCATGCAGGGCCGGAAGGATCGATAGCAACAACAAAATATCTTTATACACTTTGTATGTCTGTTTTTGTAGCTTTAGCCGGGACCTGAAGAATCCTACCGCCCATAAGGGGCTATGGTTCTCCTTGCTCATATTTATATATTCATTTAGACATGCATTTTATAGGTAATCTATGAAATGACTGTTACTTTTTAGTGTCCCTTAAAATGTATGTTTGTGTATATCTATATATCCATTCTTTCATCTGATATATATATATATTTGTGTGTGTATATATATATATATATATGTGTGTGTGTGTGTGTGTATATATGTGTGTGTATATATATATATATATATATATATATATATATATATATGCATGCATATCGGTATTTTTCTGAAAGTCTCTTAGATCTTCAGCATCCTGAGGTGAGCCTATTCCATACACTGTTGATTCTATTATAACACCTCACATAATGTATTTTTACAATGTTCTGTTCTGCTCGATATGTATTTGTTGGTAGACTGAATTAAGGAATGAAGGAATAATGAATCCTAAAACGCGAGCTCTGTCCCCCTTAGAGATGGTTCCCATTATATGCTTTTAGCTGTTAAATTGATGAGGAACATGATTTTACCTTCAACAACAACAAAAAAAGCAAATATAATAAAAGAGGTGCCATCTTCTTGCTTTGTGATGAGCCCATCAAACCTGCATTTCCTCACCCCGGTGACTGAGACCATCCCTCACGTTGGCAGAGGGATTTTTTCAGGGCATTTGCGTCTGTTGTACCCCCGCTGTCTCAGAACCTTGCAGAGCAGGGCGGGTGGGTGTCATTCTCATTTCCTGTTGGCCGAGGAGAAGGCAGAGGCGCAGAGAGGCTGCGGTGACGTATCCAGGTCGCAGGGAGCATCCGTGTGGAAAGGAGAGGCCACGCGTCTCGGTGCCTCCTTGATGTTCCTTCTACAGGGCGGGCAAAACTAGGTTCACAGTGTTGGTATGGAAAATAATGCAATAATTAATTCATAATACCCAGAAGTAACTCCTGTTTCGCGTACTCAGAACTGTAAACCTACTTTTCCCCACTTGGTGTATCTTATTTACCAGGCATCAATTTGGTTCAGGTTTTGAAATATATTCCATTTAATGTGAAAGTTTCACAATGTAACAGGTGGCACTTGATGCTAAGTAATCACTAAAAAGAGTTAGGATTTTCATTTTTTCTACTTGATTTGGGACCTAGCATTTGGTTAGGGTCAAGGGCAAGTGAATTTGGACCCCATCCTTTCCAGCTTCTCCAGGTGACTCTGGCCCCCTCTCTCCGTGGCTGGTAGAACAGAATCGTGCTGTGCTTTTTTGTCTGTGTCTCACTCGTTTTTATTGTCGTCCTTCCCTTTACCCCACCCAATGGGTAGCACATAGTAGGTGCTTAATAATTGTTCGATGACTAGGAGGTAAATGTAGAATGAAGTAGGACAACTCTTAAAGGTTTGAGCCCCCAGAGGTTGGCGTTGCCTAAGGAGAAGGTGTGTTTTGGACTACCTGCTATTTCCCTTTACAGTAGATGTATCAAGCTCCACGCTGCATTAAAATACTGGGAATGCCAGGACTAACGGAGTAATCTCCACTCTGGGTGTTCACACAATAATTGGGGCACAGAACATCCACTCACAGATGCTCAGGTCACACGCCGGACACGTTGCTTCTGAAGTGATTGGCCCTGTCTGGGGGGTTGGAAGCCTTGCACTGGCTCAGAAGGCGTTGGGGTTGCACCGGGGTTCCTGCCGAGCAGGGCACATGTAGAGAACAGCTGGGATTGCCAGCGACCATGGCACTGAGAGGTTCGGTGACTGCTCGCAGTGTGGAATGCGATGGGTCACATTGGGTGGTGAAGCTGACATGTTAGACTGGAAATATAAGCAAGGAATACCATACCTAACATATGGAATGTACTGATATGTTATGTTTCTTAGAAAATATTACATCTTTATTCGGAAGAGGATGAGATGCCACTGAATTATTAAAGGGCAGTAACCGGATTTGTGTTATGAGAAGGCGACTCGGGCAGCTGTCCTGGATGGAGGAGAACAGGGAAGGGCCGGGGGCAGGGAGGCAGAGCGGGTGAGAGTGTAAGGAGGGTCCAGATAATGGGGTTTCCTTCCTGAAGCAGTGGGAACGGGGCGATGAGTGGAATTCCGCAATGATGACAGAGAAACTCGAGGACCTTGGAGAAGTCAGGGGCCCTCGGCTCTCCAGCCTGGGCGGCTGGTGTGGAGAACAGACTAGTGTTAAGAGATGATGTACAGGCAGAGAGAAAATGGATTCTCCCCAGTCCCGTATTCCTTAGACCTGATAACAACCAGGATTCACTAGGCTGGCACAATTGTTTGTTTTCCTCAACCCATTCGTTTTCTTCCGACCCTGTGGTGAGTGGGAGTTGGCATGTGCCAGCTCATAAGAGCAAGTTGTTAAATTTCAAGAATTGTGTGAGCTGGTTGTTCAATGCAGTATTATTAAAAGCTAAGTTATATAGCCCAGCCAGTGTTGCTCAGTGGTTTGAGTGTCGACCTATACACCAGGAGGTCACATGCCGGGGTTGTAGGCTCGATCCCTAGTGTGGGGCGTGCATGAGGCAGCCGATAGATGATTCTTTCTCATCATTGATATTTCTATCTCAATCTCTCCCTTCCTCTCTGAAATCAATAAAAAAAATATTAAAAACTAAGTTATATAAATGTATAAGTTAAGTTAATATTAATATCAAAGGTAATATATACTCAAAACTCATCTCTCCGTAATAATTTTGTTACTTTTTACTGTTGGTCCTGGTGGGAGTATTTACACCACCGGAACTGGCAAACAGTCTAAGTCAGGGCTTGATTGATTGTTTTGTTGATTACTGAGACTTGAGGCTTTCTAAAATGTTTTGGCTTATAGAATTGACAACGATAATAGCTACCACTTGCTACGCTAGTTACTTGCTTGTTTCTAGTCCTTGTAATAACCCACCAGGCGGGGATTATTACCCCCATTCTACAGATGAATAAACTGAGATTAAGCCAGGTTTTCATTGTCACACATCCCATGCGTCCCAGAGCTGGTTGCCCGGTTCAGGTGTATCACCAAAGCCCATCCTCTTTTCAGGTACCATCCGGTCCTGAGGTGAGTTCCTGTTAATAGCGTATCAGGGAAATTAGATCTTACACCGAAAGATTTTTATTTTTATGGCTATTCATCACAAGAACCACTTACCACACAGAAAATTACATTTCACAAAAAACTTGTGCTATGCATTGGCTTATGTAGATGTTTCATGCTCATTTAATTTTATTCCTGTCCGCACAGCCTTGGCGGGGGACCAGATGATTCAAAAGAAATTATGAGACACAGTTTCTTCTCTGGAGTAAACTGGCAAGATGTATATGATAAAAAGGTAGGTTATCTTCGTGCCGCGGTGTTTATCTATTTTGGCTAAAATGAACTGGCATCCAAAAAAAAAATTTAAGTGAATAAAATGTAATAATAGCATGGTATTTTTCATTTTACCCTATCATTTAATTGAATATTGAACTTCTTAGCACACAGTTTTATTAATAATTTTGACTCCCAAAACACATCTTGAAATTCTACTCAGTATCATGAAACAGTTGATTTTTTAAAAATATATATTTTATTGATTTTTTTACAGAGAGGAAGGGAGAGGGATAGAGAGTCAGAAACATCCATGAGAGAGAAACATCGATCAGCTGCCTCCTGCACACCCCCTACTGGGGATGTGCCCGCAACCAAGGTACATGCCCTTGACCGGAATCGAACCCGGGACCCTTCAGTCCACAGGCTGTCGCTCTATCCACTGAGCCAAACCGGTTAGGGCGAAACAGTTGATTTTTCTTCAGCAGTTCTTAGTATATTCACAGAGTTGTGCAGCCACCACCAGTATCAAATTCCAGAACACTTTGATCTCTTCCTTCCTTGGAGATTCAGGTTTCTTTCTGGTATTATTCCCCTTTAGCCTAAAGAATGTCCATGATCATTTTTTATAGTCCAGCCGGTTGGAGAGGAACTTGTTTTCTTTTATATAGTGATGTCTTTATTTTGGCTTCATTCTTCAAGGAAATGATCACCTAGTACAAAATTGTGAGTTGATAGTTTAGTGAATGCATACTCATTATTATTTGTTCCCTTGTACATTATGTGTTATATTTTACTTGCTGCTTTCAAGATATTTTTGTTTGTGTAAGGGCCATAGAATATTCCACTTTGACTAGTGTGAACTACATTTCCCAGAATTGCCTTTTGCTAACGAGATTCTTGTGGGAGATTCCAAAACAGAAGTGAAGGAGCAGCCCTTTTGTGGCTCCTCATGCTGTTGCTTATCTGTCAGCTCACCTCGCTGGCCCGAGAGGAGGTCAGGCCTCAGGGCTCCATCTCCCCTGGATCCTCTCTTAGTTTTGCCCGCTCCTGGGCCAGGGTGTGAGTTCAGCTCCATGACAAAGGCCCTCATTCCAGTGGGATATCCACACTGTTCAAGTCAGAGATGATAAGAAACGGCATGGGTGTTAGTCTGTCCTCGTGGATGCCAACCCTGGCCCTTTTGGGTTCCACTTGGTTCTTCTCCTGCTTTACAAGCATCTTCTCTTCCCACCGGCCTGTCCCGTGGGTGCCGGGCTCTGGCATTAAACATGAAGACGGCAGCCTTACCGAGAGCATATGAACAGCTGCTGCAGTCGAGTAAATTCAGATCCCCATAATCCATTCGCACTGACGAGTACACACACACACACACACACACACACACACACAGTGCTGTTTCCTACCTGCTAACAAAAGTTAAAACACATAAAGCAGAAACTAATAAACTACAAGGAAAAATAGAGCAGTTAGAGTTGGGCATTTCAATACCTGACTCCAAATAATTGATAGAAGTAGAGAGGAAACCACTAGTTTATAGCAGACTTCAGCAATGCTATCTACCAACTTATCTAATTGCCATTTATAGAACACTGCTCAACAACGGACGTATGCTTATTCTTTTCAAAGTTATGCAGAACACCTAGCATGAGATACCATATTTTGGGCAAAACAACCCAAACTTTTAAAAATCATATATTTTTATTGATTTCAGAGAGGAAGGGAGAGGGAGAGAGATGGAAACATCAGTGATGAGAGAGAATCATTGATCGACTGTCTCCTGCAGGCCCCTCCCTGGGGATTGAGCCCACAAACCAGGCGTGTGCCCTGACTGGGAATCGAACCATGACCTCCCGGTTCATAGGTCGATGCTCAACCACTGAGCCGTGCAGGCTAGGCAACCCTGTAATTTTTTAAAGATTCAAATAATTTAAGTCATGTGCTCTTTGGATGAAAGGGAATTGATTTACAAATCAAAACAGAAAGATATATGGAAACTCCCCAAGTATTTGGAAACTTATTACAAGTTTAAATAATTCATGGGTCACAGAAGAAACCAAAAAGGAAATCAGAGTATTTTGAACTGACTGAAAAGGTAAACAAAACACGTACAGTTCTGGGATACAGCTATTGCAGTACTTCCAGGGAAATTTATAATTCCAAATGATCGTATTCGAAATTATCTGAGATCAATGACCTCGTCTTTCATCATAAGAAACTAAAAAAGAAGAAAACATTAAATCCAATGGCCAGTGTGGTAAGGCGAGAAAAAGAAATAAAATGCATACAGATAAGAGAAGGAGGAAGTAAATCTGTCTTTACGCATAGACAACATGATTATCTATTTAGAAAATCAGATAGAATCTACAAAACAGCTACTAAAGTTCAACCCATGGGTTGCTTGATACAAGGTAAATGTACAGAAACAGCTATAATTTTATACAGACAATCTAAAACGGAAATTAATAACAGTGCTGGTTAAAATAGCAACAGATATATGAAGTACGTAGGGATACTTTTGACAAAAGGTATGAGAGACCTTTAGCATAAAAGCTAAAATATAGTGTTGAGGAAAGTGAAGGCACCCCAGAGCAAGGAAGAGATATGCTGTGCTCATGATTTAGAGGACACGGTATTTTTAAGATGTTTGTTCTCTCAAAATTGGTCTATAAATTCAACACAATTCTCATCAAGATTCTACCAGGCAATTCTCCAGAAATTGTTAGTTTGACTCAAAAATTCATATGGAACGTAAAGGACCTAGAATAGCCAAAACAACTTTGACGAAAAACAAAGTTGGGGACACTACCCAACTTCAAGACTTACTATTAAGTCAAAGTAATTAAGACAGTTTGTTATGCACACGTGACATCTTTCTCGCCCATGAGGATGGGTGAAGAGATCAGCGTGACACGAGAATTTCTGGAAGTAGACCCACTCACATGTGGTTGATGGACTTTCAATAAAGGCGCAGAGACAGTTCAGTTACACAGATGGTGCTGAAACAGCTGGACGTCCATATCTTTTAAAGGCAGTTTGCAGCATGTACAGAATTAACTCGAAAGCGATCATAGCCTTAAACGGGAAGACTTCTAGAAGAAATTCCCTTCACCTTTCTCCCCCAGCTTCCCACCCTCCCCTCTGACAGCTATCGGTCTGTTCTGTCCGAATCTGTTCCTATTTTGTTTAGTAGTTTGTTTTGTTCATTAGATCCCACATATAAGGGAAATCGTATGGTATTTGTGTTTCTTTGGCTTATTTCACTCAGCACAGTGCTCGTCAGGCCACACTTTCCAGCAGCCTCTTCTGCCCCTATTCTTGGTTTCTCTTATGTCCAGTTTCACATAATCCCTCCAATGGTCCACAGAACAACCAGCTCCCTGAGGTCTGGGCTTAGACTGTTGGCTGGACGCTGCCTGGACCTCCAGTGGCTCAGCATCGAGTCCCTTGCACTGACCAGTTAGTTACCTGTTCTTCAGTTGTATCCTAAAATTAATTTCCCTACATCGAAATCTGTTCACCGGTACTTCTTCTTTCTTTGTACAGCTTGTACCGCCTTTTAAGCCTCAAGTAACATCTGAGACAGATACCAGATATTTTGATGAAGAATTTACAGCTCAGACTATTACAATAACACCACCTGAAAAATGTAAGTAAATCTTGAAGGCGATGCATAACACTCTGATATAACAGAAGAAAAAAAAGATGTTTTTTATTAGATACTAGAGGCCCGGTGCACGATATTCGTGCATTGGGGGGGGGTTCTCTCAGCCTGGCCTGCGCCCTCTCGCGGTCCAGGACCCTTCGGGGGATGTCCACCTGCTGGCTTAGGCCCACTCCCCACGTGGATGTAAGCCGGCACGCAGACATCCCCCGAGGGGTCCTTAGTGCTGCTGCAGAGGTGGAAGAGATTCCCGCCACCACCGCTGCGCTCGCCACCTGTGAGCCCAGCTTCTGGCTGAGCGGCACTCCCCCTGTGGGAGTGCACTGACCATCACGGGGCAGCTCCTGCATTGAGCATCTGCCCCCTGGTGGTCAGTGTATGTTATAGTGACCGGTCATTCCGCCGTTCGGTCGATTTGCATATTAGCCTTTTATTATATAGGATTTTCAAGATTTAATTCCAGTGACTTTCCATTTAAGAATGGAGTTTGTTCCCAGTGTGGAAAAATAAAGTCAGGTAGCTGAGGGAGAAGTGTTTTCATATAGGAAAAACCTACACAGGGAAAAATGTAAACTAAGAATCATAAGCTAAATTACAGACCAGTTAGCCCTCCTTGCTGTTCTCCAGTAGCTTCTTTTGACATCAACTAAACGGAATCTGACGTAGAGACTTCCCAGGTCCCCCCTTGCGGGCTTCCTGCAGAATTGTCCCGATTCTGCTCTCCCACCTACTAGTTTCAAACTTCACTTTCAGTTGAGTTGTTCTGTCTTGACTTCGCTTTGTCTTAAGCGAGAATGTCTGTGAAGACATAGTTTAGTTTGCTCGCGATCTTTGGTGCCTAGAAGATAAATCACACACCTGTTAAAACTGTACGTCCGTGCCCCCCTTGGAGCCATCCCAGGTCCGTGAGCGCGACCCACACTTTGGTAAGTGCCTCAGGTCAGCGGCCTCTCATGAAAGCAGAGGCGATCACATGGAACCTACAGGCACGCTCAGGCGCTGACGACGGCCTGGTCTGTGTCTGTCTTGTTAGCTGAGCCTCGGGGACAGGTCCGGGGTGAGGTTTCTAAGCCCCACCGCTGTGGCTCACACAGTAACATCGCCCGTGTTCTCTCCCTTCCTTTGCCTGTGCATCCTGTGTGTGTCTCGCTTCCTCGATTTCCTTTGGGAAAGGCAGAGCAGTTGACAGTGTGAAGGTCCCGTGGCCACGAGCGGGAAGGTTGATGCCAAGGGCTTGGCCAGCGGTGGGCGCGGACGGTAGACGGGGGCACTGAGGGCAGAGAGATTAGGCCGGAGCTGTGCGCCCGGCCCGACAGCAGGAGCGGTGCACACGCCGAAGTGAGCATGCGGCTCTGCGTGCTCGTGTGCTCTCCCTTTAGACTTGCAGGAAGTGAAGACCCTTTTCTGTTGTAAAAGGGAAGAAATTGAACCCGGAGGAAAACTGAGCTCCCCAGAAGCCCCCAGTTCATGGGGCCCAGCAGCGTGGCCGCCGCCGGCTGAAGCTGTGGCCTCGCCTCTGCTGATGTGCCGCTCATGGTCTCACCGTGGTCGGCAGCAGCTCGCTCTGTCTTGCATGCCGTCGCCAGCACCCTAGACCCTCCCTGGTGAAGGCCATCGCCAGCACCCTAGACCCTCCCTGGTGAAGGTCAGCGCCAGCACCCTAACCCTCCCCTGGGTGAAGGGTCAGCTCAGCACCTAGACCCTCCCTGTGAAGGTCAGCGCCAGCACCTAGACCCTCCTGGTGAAGGTCGCGCCAGCACCCTAGACCTCCCTGGTGAGGTCAGCGCCAGCACCCTAGACCCTCCCTGGTGAAGGTCAGCGCCAGCACCCTAGACCCTCCTGTTGAAGGCAGCGCCAGCACCCTAGACCCTCCCTGGTGAAGGTCCGCGCCAGCACCCTAGACCCTCCCTGGTGAAGGTCAGCGCCAGCACCCTAGACCCTCCCTGGTGAAGGCCAGCGCCAGCACCCTAGACCCTCCCTGGTGAAGGCCAGCGCCAGCACCCTAGACCCTCCCTGGTGAAGGCCATCGCCAGCACCCTAGACCCTCCCTGGTGAAGGTCAGCGTCAACACCCTAGACCCTCCCTGGTGAAGGCCAGCGCCAGCACCCTAGACCCTCCCTGGTGAAGGTCAGCTCCAGCACCCTAGACCCTCCCTGGTGAAGGCCATCGCCAGCACCCTAGACCCTCCCTGGTGAAGGCAGCGTTAGGAAGCCTGGGAGGTTGGGGGCCAGCAGCTGAGGACTGTGCGTGGAAGCCGTGGGCACAGCCTTGGCGTCGTGTACCATCCCGGCATGAATGGGCTGAATGCTGGCAGCACCAGCGAGGGGTGGGGCTGGCCCCAGAGTCCGCTCCTCCAGCGTCTGCGAGGCCTCGCCATGTGGATCCAGCCCTCATCGTCGTCAGACCACATCACCCTCCATGGCTCCGGCCACTCTCACTCCAACTGCTCTCGCTGCCACACAGCCCAGTCTCATCCGTGCTCCACCTCTCCCACCTCATCCTGTCCCCTCTCCCCCGGCCCTGGGTCTCCCACACCTTGAGCAAGCCACGCCTGCCCACGCCGGGATGGGCTGCTCTCCTGGGGTGCTCTCCACCCAGGGTGCTCTCCTGGGGTGCTCCCTACCTGGGGTGCTCCCTGCCTGGGGTGCTCTCTGCCTGGGGTGCTCCCTGCCCGGGGTGCTCTCTGCCTGGGGTGCTCCCTGCCTGGGGTGCTCTCTGCCCGGGGTGCTCTCCGCCTGGGGTGCTCCCTGCCCGGGGTGCTCTCTGCCCGGGGTGCTCCCTGCCTGGGGTGCTCTCCGCCTGGGGTGCTCTCCGCCTGGGATGCTCCCTGCCTGGGGTGCTCTCTGCCCGGGGTGCTCTCTGCCTGGGGTGCTCTCTGCCCAGGGTGCTCTCCGCCTGGGGTGCTCCCTGCCTGGGGTGCTCTCTGCCCGGGGTGCTCCCTGCCTGGGTGCTCCCTGCCTGGGGTGCTCTCTGCCTGGGGTGCTCTCTGCCTGGGGTGCTCCCTGCCTGGGGTGCTCTCTGCCTGGGGTGCTCCCTGCCTGGGTGCTCCCTGCCTGGGGTGCTCTCTGCCTGGGGTGCTCCCTGCCTGGGTGCTCCCTGCCTGGGGTGCTCTCTGCCTGGGGTGCTCTCCGCCTGGGGTGCTCTCCGCCTGGGGTGCTCCCTGCCTGGGGTGCTCTCTGCCCGGGGTGCTCTCTGCCTGGGGTGCTCTCTGCCCGGGGTGCTCTCTGCCTGGGGTGCTCTCTGCCCGGGGTGCTCTCTGCCCGGGGTGCTCTCTGCCTGGGGTGCTCCCTGCCTGGGGTGCTCTCCGCCTGGGATGCTCCCTGCCTGGGGTGCTCTCCGCCCGGGGTGCTCCCTGCCCGGGGTGCTCTCCGCCTGGGGTGCTCCCTGCCTGGGGTGCTCCCTGCCCGGGGTGCTCTCCGCCTGGGGTGCTCCCTGCCTGGGGTGCTCCCTGCCTGGGGTGCTCCCTGCCCAGGGTGCTCTCCTCCTGGGGTGCTCGCGTCTGGACATTTGCAGGAGCTGCTCCTGCTTGTTTGCACTCAGCCTGGCTGCCACTTCCTCAGGGAGGTTCTGCGACCTTCCAGGCTGGAGGGCAATGTGCAGCCCCCCTCACCCCCCCAATACCTCTCCTTCCACACCTTCCCCGTGACGGTGTCCGCTGGGGAGTCCTCTCTGGGCGCTGATGTTTCTCCAGCTGGAAGCAGTGGCCTCAGGAGGAGGGTGTGGTATCCACGGCTGCCCGCCCTTAGCCCTTAGCCCTTAGCCCTTAGCGAGGTGTTGCCAGCACAGCATCCAGTGGCTACTGAGTGAGTGAATAACGAAGTGCGGGGGTGGGGGGTGGCTTGGTGTCAGGGCGGAGCCGGCCCAGGTCCTCACAGCAGGTGCCATGCGTGCCCGTCGGTGCCCAGACTCTGGGTTTGCCTCCCAGGTGGCACCACAGTGGCGTTGGGAGTGAGGCCCAGCGCGCTGTCTCCACCTCAGCCAGACGGTTTCCTCTGTTGGATGAGCTCTTGGCTTTGGGCCTCTTTCGGGAACTCACTACACGTTGTGCTGGAAGGGGCGGGCATGGGGGCCCTGCAGATGCAAAGCCAGGAGTACGGCTTTCCCTTCGCAAAGTTGGAAGCCCAGCCCGTGGGGGGCGGCGGGCGGGGGGGGGCTCAGACCCTGCTCGGTCCGGGCCGCTCCCGGGCCTGGGAGGCGGCATGGGGCCCGTCGCTTAGGAAAGACCCGGGAGTGCCCCGCGCTTGAATGACCGATTGTGCTTGTGCTCAGGCACCAGGTGGGCCCGTCTGCCACCCGCTCCGTGGAGGGTGCTGACAGGCCCAACACAGTAAACACCAGCCAAAGGGGCCGGAGCCCAGGGGCCTGGGGGAGGGACCGACCGGATTCAGTGCAAGGGATTGTGGGACCGAAAGACCACCCTGCCCTGGCCAGGAGCTCAGTGGTTAGAGCGTGTCCCACCGTGCCCAGCCTTCGGGCTTGAGCCCGGTCAGGGCACCTGTCAGAACCACCAGTGAGGCATGGATGAGTGCGGCACACACACCAGTGTGTCTGTCTGTCTCCTCCTCCTCCTCCCCCTTCCCCTCTCTCTAAAGAAAAAGATAAAAAGGCCGCAGCAGACCTGTTTGGTTACAAAGAAGTTAGATTAAAAGCTTCGTGACCGGTGCCTCCTTAGCCGTCGGTCCTGTTTCAGGATTGACTCGAAGGGCACAGCCCCATCCCCCCAGAGGCCGCTCCCCGCCTTGTCCCTGACCCACAGCCTCCCGTGCTGGGCCTCGGGGCGAGAGTGTCGTTCATCGGCACCTTATTGCTCCCTTTGCAGAACGTCTGAAACGTAAGCACAGTTTCGGGAACAGCTCCCTGGATCCGTAGCTACCGGAGAGCTGCGCTCTGGCTGTCGCTTTTATCACTCACGCATCTCTGTTCCTGAAAGACGCGTCTGTAGACGTGGGTTGTGCTGACTAAGCCCGTGACTCGGTGCCTTTCAGGGGTGATCGGATTGAGGCAGGGGTGCCTTTCAGGGGTGATCGGATTGAGGCCAGGGTGCCTTTCAGGGGTGATCGGATTGAGGCAGGGGTGCCTTTCAGAGGTGATCGGATTGAGGCAGGGGTGCCTTTCAGGGGTGATTGGATTGAGGCAGGGGTGCCTTTCAGGGGTGATTGGATTGAGGCAGGGGTGCCTTTCAGGGGTGATCGGATTGAGGCAGGGGTGCCTTTCAGGGGTGATCGGATTGAGGCAGGGGTGCCTTTCAGGGGTGATCGGATTGAGGCAGGGGTGCCTTTCAGGGGTGATCGGGTTGAGGCCAGGACAGATCGCACGCCCATGCATTGTAGTCCCTTCCAAGGCGGGTATCGATCCACCTGGAGTTGTAGGCCTGGCCAGGCTGGGTCTGTGGGCATCCAAGGTGGGTGTGGCCTTGCCCAAACACAGGAGGCCAGCGGCGTCCTCGGGACTCACCTAAGCTCAGCACTCGAGGGGGATCCCGAACTCGCTGTCCTATTTCCGACCCAGGTGGGGAGTGGGCTGAGGCCAGCGGGCTCCAGCAGCCGTCCTGCATGGCTCGGCTCAGCCCGCCAGCCCCCACCCCCCGCAGGAGGTCACAGGACTGCACCCCCACCTGCGGGGACTGGCCTCAGTGGTGGCGGGCCGCACCCCTGGGTTCCTCCAGGGCGGGCAGTGCCCGTGGTTGATGGCCCCAGTATGTTTCCTAGTTTCCCCTGCAGACAGACCAGAGGAGAGAGAGTCTGAAACCCTGAGCTGCGACCACATTGGACCCAGTCCTCCCTCCTCCCCTGGGAGCAGAGGGCCCGGGAGGAGCGTCTGTCCACGGACGCCCGCGAGCACTAGCGGGCCCTTGTCCCCCGCTCGCCACCTTGCTTTTATAAAACAGGAGGGAGGGATTTTTTGAGAACAAATCAGCAGTTAGAAAGGCGACATGTTCCTTCTCTGCACACAGCTGCTCGCCCACGCCCGCGCCCTGCCTGGTGTTCATTAGGGAGCAGATTGGAGGGTGTCGATCCACGCGCTCCTGGTCTCTGCCCCTCGTGCGGGAGGGGGTTTCGGTGACACCCAGGAGCTCACTGCCTGTAAGGGCATCTGTGAAAGGTGCTGAGAGGGGCCCCGGTGCTGAGGGAGGCAGGGGTGCAGCGGGTGTGGACTGAGCTCTGGCTCTTCGTCCAGTGTGTGTGGCTTGGGGTCTTTTTGGCCTCCTCCCTGTTCATTGTCACCACTGCTCCCCGTGAGCCTCTCTGCAGAGCGGGAGCGAATGGCCAGCCGCCCACTGGGCGTCAGGTGTGTGGCCGGATGTCCCTGTCACTTGCTTCTGGCCCCCTCCATCCCCACCCCAGCTGCCTGTGCAGCATGGGGCCCGGGGACCCCCAGACCTCCAAGCCCACGGCCCTTGCTCCCCCAACCCTGTAAGGTCAGAGGGACGACACGGGCTTTCAGGAAGATGGAGGCGAGGGGCCCTCCCGTGGTCATCCCCACGGTTTAGGTTTCTTTACGGTCAGAAATGCGTTTAATTCGTTTGCTGGGCAGAGCCACGCCCAGCCACACAAAGCTGTTCATGGGAAAACGGATTCTCTGACGGGTGATTGGCACCTGTCAGCATCGGACCGTTGGATTTCCGCTGCCTCTCTGGAGAGTTTTGGACGTTGTGGCTCGACGTCAGAGAAGCCGTCCGCAGCTCCTGCGCCCGGTGGAGCCGAAAGTGCCCTGGCCGGCCGTGCGTGTGAAGATGCCGCGTTTGCTGGGGGCCTGGCCGGTGTTTAGAAGCAGGAGGCAGAGAGCTCCTTCAAGCACAGGGTCACCCAGAAACGCGTGGCTAGAGGGCGGCCCGGAGTCGGCCGCTCACAGGGAGCAGGACCAGGGACGCTGCCTGGCGGACTGGGTCCCCCCCCCCCCCCCATACGGTGGTGGTGGTCTCTAGTGCGGTCGAGGCCACACATGTGGGTCAGCGCCTGGATCCCGTTTCTAGATGTTCTGTGTTAAGAGTAGAAGGGCCCTGGCTGGTTTTGCTCAGTGGATAGCGCACTGGCCTGCGGACTGAAGGGTCCCGGGTTCGATTCCGGTCAAGGGCACGTACCTCGGCTGCAGGCTCCAAGCTCTGGTCCGGGGCATGCCAGAGGCACCCAATTGATGTGCCTCTCTCACATCGGTGTTTCTCTCTGGCTCCCCCTCGCCCTCCCTCCTCTCTAAAAATCAATGGGAAAATATCCTCGGGTGAGGATTTAAAAAAAAAGTAGAAGGCAGAAAAGAAGAGCAGGGAGAAGGAGCAGAAAGCGTTATCTTCAGAGGAAGGCGGGCACCAGTGCCCACCGCCCGTGGAGTCTGGCCCACGTCCTCTCTCCCGTCCCGAGCGGGCGTGGGGGGCGGGGGGAGCTGGTCACGTGCTTCTGGGTATTGGAGGCAGTGGAGTGGCTTTGCCTGAAGAAAAGCAGGTTGGGTATTGGGGGGATTCCTCACTTCTTCACTGCGGGGCAGCGAGCGATCCAATGGGGGAGATGCACTGGGGGGCCTCCCCTCAGGCGGGGAGCCCGGGGTGGGGCCGGCAGGGCCCTGCCCAGAGCTGTGGGTGAGGGCGCGCGTCCGGACGGTGGGGTGTCCCTCCTCAGGACTGTGACGGGGGAGATGGGTGATGGTTTGAGATCATGACCATCCTTCACACACAGGACTCGAGGGACGCGAGGGAGGCGTGGCCCACAGCCAGCAGCCACCTGGCGCCTTCTGTCTGTCTCCGTGCACTGGTCCCGGATGCGACCTCTTTCCCTCGGTCTTTTTCTCTTCCTTCTAGTTTAGCGTCTCGGTTTAGTGAGTCTCAAAATGTGTGTCGTGACGGTGATGATTTGCTAGTGTTATTTCCTCATAGGTCACGTGTGTAAAGGAGAGGCGATTGAAATAGGTTTAGCTGCTGTGTGTTTGATGGACAAACCCAAGTGTCTAGAAGATGTTGCCTTTGTTCATCTTCATTATCTTAGAAGTTAGGACTGGCCCTGACCGGTTTGGCTCAGTGGGATAGAGGATCAGCCTGCAGACTGGAAGGTCCCAGGTTCGATTCCGGTCAAGGGCATGTACCTTGGTTGCAGGCACATCCCTAATAGGAGGTGTGCAGGAGGCAGCTGATCGATGTTTCTCTCCCATCGATGTTTCTAACTATCCCTCTCCCTTCCTCTCTGTAAATAATCAATAAGATACATTTTAAAAAAAGAAGTTAGGACTCTACAGACCAGAGAGAGTGTTGCCAAAAGCAAGTGTCGCCCGGCCAGTGTGGCTCAGTGGTGGGGCATCAGCCTATGAACCAGGAGGTCACGGTTCGATTCCCGGTCAGGGCACATGCCCGGTTGTGGGCAGCTGATCAATGATTCTCTCTCATCATTGATGTTTCTCCCTCTCCCTTCCTCTCTGAAATCAGTAAAAATATATATTTAAAACAAGCGTGAGATTGAAATGGTGTTTCTGCCCGCAGACGACGAGGACGGCATGGACAACGAGAGCCGGCCGCACTTCCCTCAGTTCTCCTACTCGGCGAGCGGCCGCGAGTAGGCCCCGTGCTGCTGCGTCGCTGCCGCCCGAGACTCACACTGAGAACGGCTGCTGGACGTCGGACGGTCCCGGCTCCTCCACTCAGCAGGCGCCTCCAGACACCCCGACCGGCCCAGGCCTCACCCTCGCCACCTCCGCCCGCCTGAGAACACACATATACGCAAATACACTCGACTTTTTGTTTTTTGCATGAAATTGTATCTCAGTCTAAGGTCTCATGCTGTTGCTGCTGCTGTCTTACTCTTATAGCAACTTTCAGAGGTAACCTTACCGCCCTGGGAAGTCATGAGGCCGCCGCCATCCACCCGCCCACCAGTTGTCACCTTCTTGTCTTTCAGTTGTGGCTCTCCCCTGACAGCGGGGGGTAAATGAGATACACCGATGCTAGGTACATTTTTTTTATTTTTAACTCTCTAGAAGCTAAAGCAGAAACTAATTAGCCTGAGAAGATTTAGTGTATAATTCAGAACGAGCGATTGCGGAAGGGTGGCGGTGCGCATGTGCCGCTTTCAGGAAAGCCTGATTGCAGAGCAGAGCCTACAGTAGCCGTCGGCCGCTCAGATCAGTTAGGAAGCATTTGCAAGGACCGCACGACTCGGTACATGCATCCAGATTCCTGCTGGATCCCGTAGAGGAAGCCGGGGGGTCCCACGTGGACGTCCAGACCTCGCAGGCAGTCCCGGCAAACGAACATGGAAGGAAGGAAGCAGATGCACAGCTGAGTCGAGGTCATCCCAAGGTCGCCGCTAGGATCGGCACCCCGAGAGCATGGCTTCCCTCGTGCTTGGACACCGTTGTCCGTGGTAATATTTCTCGCCGCTGATGGCTGAAGAATGTAGACAGGTGTAACGACCCTGCTTTTCACCAAAATGTGTGCACCCAGGTAAACGGGCGTTTGCCACGTGTGTTTTCGTTTTCCATTTCAGTTCTGCGTGAATTAGCTTTTCCTCGGATGTTAGAACTTTGAATGTCCTTGTTGTGATTTTGTTGATAATTGCAGTAGTATTTATTTTTTAGTGACGAGACTTGTATGTCGTGGTAGCAAATGCAGCTCCAACTGAACACAGAGTAGACGTACTGCAGTTTCTTTTGGCCCGCGTGCAAGGAACGTACCCGCCGACAGGATTCATGCACTTTTTCTCCTTTGGGAAGCGATTTTGACGAGGCTCCGAGATGGGACTTGTTGGTTAGAATTTGGCGCTGGGAGAAGAGATGCTGTCCTCCAACCCCTTGGTGCTAAGAATGAGAACATCCCCAGCTCACCCACGCCAAGGGGCGATGTTTGCCCATCTGAGAAGGGAGGTGTTAGGACGGCCAGGCAACCAATGAAACGGCCCACATGGAGACCTGAGTGGCGATCAACGAACCTACTCGGCCGAATGCATGAACACATCTCAAGTGCTGGCGGAGGAGGCAGGTAGAGATAAGAGCCTAGTGTGTTTGTTCTGATCATGGTACATTGATCACTGAATTAAGCCATCAGGGAACACCACAGAACACAAAGGAACACCTCCGACCTCCCTTCTTCTGTACATACTCCTGCCCCCGCGCTCCACCGCCCCCACGGACAGGGGGCGCGTATGCACACCTCATCTTCCCCCTCCATTGATGACGATCTTCAGATTCAACCCTTTGGTGCTAGGAGCTGACACTTTCCAAAGCAGCCGATGAGACCCAGGGGCGGGGCCTGGAGATGTATTTCAGTTCCACTCCCTGATCGCTCCCACGGGGAAGACCACGGCGTGACGTAGGCTGGTGACCGCACTGGGGGGCGGGCAGGCGACTTGGGAGCGGGATGCCTCATTCTCACACGCAGCTGTCTTAGCCGCGACGCCGGGAGAGCGGACTCGCGGACGGGAAACCACTGCTGGCGAGGGGGGGCCGCTGGGACTGCCGGGGGTTAAAGGGCATTTTCCTAAGGCAGCTAAGACATATTTCACATCGGTTTTATCCTGATTTTTCATATTCCTCCCCAAGCGAGGCTCGTCCTTAGTACTGAGTAGGAAGTTGCAGTCGTTGGCAGTTCACTCTTCCTTACACATAATGGCTCCACCTTTCATTTTTTTTCCACTTGGAATTACGTTGAATGTTTCACACTGACCAGAAAGTAGACTAGAAGGTATGTCTTGTAAGTTGTCTTGCATTCGTTTGATAAAAAAAACCAACCAACCAACAGGTGAGAGGAAGGGGAGAGAGCTGGGACTGGCTGCTCACGGCCTGGGCTCCCTTAGTGGGAGGTAGGACTCCACACACTAAGCACATCGGTAGCTTTCTTTTTGTTGCTTTTTTTTTTTTCTTCTCCAAACGTGAAGGTGATTCCCATGACCTTGGCCAAGGACGCGCCCTAGAGACTCAAGGCAGCGCGGACAGTGCCCAGGCCGGCCACTCCTCACCGCCGGCCCCCTCCCGCCGGTGCTCGGCCCCGTCACCGACCCCCAGGACTCCCCTTGGGTCCCGCTGGGTGTTTCCTTGGCCTCGATCTTGAGAATCATCCCTCCTCGGGCTCCCAGATGTCGGCCAGCCGGCCCGGAGGCAGAGCGGGAAGGCGGGCGAGCGCAGAGGGGTCCCCAGGCTGCCCGGGTCCGCCCGGGGCTGCGGTTCGGGTTCGGGCCGGCGGCCAGGCCTGAGCCCCGGAGTCGTTCTCGGCGCAGGTGGGATGGTGCGGGCTCCACCTTGAACTGACGTCCGTGACCTCTGCCCTCTCGGAGGACCTGGGCCGTGGAGGCGGGCAGGGCCGCTCGCCGCTTTGCTTTCTACACGACCACACGCACCGTTCAGTATTGTTTCCCACCTCCCACCCCCGGTTTCTGGCTTCTTCAAGCTGACTGTTCTCACGGGGGCCCCTTGCTTCTCCGGGGGACGGAGCAGGGCCCCCCTCCTAACTGCAGGGTCTCCACACTTTGCTGCTGCTGTTTGTACCGTCTCCGGTAGAACCTCCTCATCTTGCTCCCGGGGGTGCATTACAGGCGAGCATGACATGTAAAGTATTTATTTAAATAAAAAGAAAACCTCTCCACTGGTCATTGGATTACCTCCCTGTAGCTGTAGAGCTTGTGACGTTTCTCCACCTTGCTAGTTCTCCCGTTAGATCCGCGCGAGATCTAGTCGCCCGGGTCAGGGTGTTAAGCAGGCGCAACTCCGGACCCAAGGAACTGTTATCACTATGACTGTCGGTCACCCCCCAACTGTTTCTCCCCTCAAGTCCATGGCCCACACGGATGTGAACTAACGACGAGGAACTGTTTTTGTACACTGTACATCCTTAGTATTTTTACACGTATCGGCTAGGGGTGCCCGTCTCTCCCTCCGTACAGACAGCTGAAATAAAGCACTGTGTCAACTGCTACTTCTCCGTTTATTGTTGTTGGATGTGGTTCTGTGATCTCAGAAAACTAAAGACTGGCCTTTTCTGGGGGGAAAAAAAAGTTTTTAAAAGCTCCACCTGGTCTTAAGCTGCCTGGTATAAAATGTGGCAGGAAAATAGGTACATTTCTTGTAGCTCCAAACACACGTGGGTTTCCTTCATTCGTCTAATAAAATGGCAGGAAGCAGCTGTGCTGACGTGGACGAGGGCTGTGTCCCCAGGGGAGGCGAGCTCCCAGCACGGGGTCCGGGCCCCCCTTCTTCCCAGCAGGTGGTCTGGACCCAGATGCTAAGGCGCGTAGCTCCTCAGTGATGTCTTCCTGGCCACGTGTGGCTCTGCCTCCCTCCTTCCCGAGAACCTATTTTTAGAACCGAGGGCGCATGAACCGTGGACGTGGGGATCGAGGGGCCTTTTTCTGACTTTACCTCATAACCCTCCTCTTGGAGGACCTGGCGCTCTCCCGGGACCCGGCCAGATAGAGGAACGGCTTTGGGACCAAAGTTAGGCAAGCACGGACGTGGCCGCCACACGCCCAACCCAGGGCATCCGCATGGATGCTCCTCTCCCCACACCACGGGGCTGACGGTCCAGGAGGCGGGGATAACGTGACCTCTGTGATTCCTTACGGTGCTATTTTCAGACTATTGTGTAACTTACTTACCGTGCTCCTAAACCTGAACTAGGGACAATGAGCCTGTCTTACGCACCGGCCTTGATCTGGAGCGCGTTGGGTGACACCGCAACCTTCTGACGCTGAGCAGAAGCTCCGCTCTTTGGGGCTTGAACCCTTTCCTGCCGGAGAGGCTCCGGGGTCTTCGCGTGGGCCGCCCCCCACCACCTCAGAGAGGCCGGGTCGGTGACGATGGCGGCAGGTCGCTGGCCCGGAGGTCAGCCCAAGGTCGGGGACTTGCCCCGGCGGCAGCTGCCTGTCGGGTCCCTTGCCATCCTCCAGAACAACACAGCATGCAGGGCCCGCTTTACTATACAGCACGGGGGGGGCTCACCTGTGTGCAGCTGAGATGCTAGTGGAGACTTAACTGATGGATGGTCTGTGTACAGAGACTGACGAGGACGCCGAGGAAGGCTGGGTGTTCCCAGGCTCCTCACAAACGGTGCATCTTGGAGAAGGACCCTGAGCCCACCCGGCCCGAGAGGCCTGTCTGTCTGGTTCGCTGCTGACGGCGTGGAGGGGAGGATGCTGAGGGCGGGCGCAGGTTAGCAGGATGAGGTCAGCGGGGTCCCGTGGATGTAGGCGGGAGGCAGAGCGAAGGGTGCTCTGTGCATCGCGAAGAGGGAGGCAGCATGGGTGGCAGGGAGAGCGTGTGGCCCTCGGCACCCTCTGGCCTGGTTAAAATATGTGCCTTTTTTGGTGTGTCTTGTTCATCACTCCACGGTAGAAAGTCAACGTCACACCCTGAGTCTTTCTGAAGTCCGTTTATTGAAGTTCATGTGTGTAACCTACATAGCAGACAAACGAGCAGATTTCACAGTACAGTAACTCGAAGCCATGTCCCCAAACCCACACCAGGAGGGCGCGTCCGGCAGCGGCAGCTCCGGCCCGTCCATCCGCCGGGGCCGCCCGGAGACACGCGTGGCGGTGACGACGCAGCCTGCGGCCGGAGCGGGGCCGCCGGGAGGTCCCGGTGCGTTGTGGCACGTTACGTGCAAATCGGATGAATGTAAATATTCTTTGTAAATCATTTATTTCACTGTTTCATCCAGGTCAGCAATCGGATTGTGGCATGCTGGGTAACTGGAAAACAAAATGAAAATAAAGAGTAAGTTTCAATAGATCCTGTTCTTCAATGTGATTTGTCTTCTCCCTGGCTGACGGTCCTGAGAATTTGGAGAAAATGATTTCTTTGCTAACGAGGTAGAAAGTGTACTCTTGTAGCCAACTGGAGGAAGAGTTTGCAGCTCACCCTCACCACAGGTCAGAGCCCTTGTCGAATAAGAATATCAGGCGGACTCTTTTTTAAAATGTTTATTTATTGATTTGAGAGCGAGAGGAACAGCGATGTGTAGCTCCACTTGTCTGAGCATCGCTGGTTGCTTTTGTATGTGTCCTGACCGGGGATCGAACCTCAACCTCAGTGCATGGGGACGGCGCTCTAACCAACTGAGCTACCCAGGGAGTGCCCATTTCTTTCTTTTTAATTTATTTTCATTGACTTCAGAGAGGAAGGGAGAAGGAGAGAGAGATGGAAACATCGATGATGAGAGAATCATGGGTCCGCTGCCTCCTGCACGCCCCACCCTGGGGATCGAGCCCGCAACCCGGGCATGTGCCCCGTCCGGGAATCGAACCATGACCTCCTGGTCCATTGTCGGTACTCAACCACTGAGCCACGCTGGCCGGGCAGGGCCCATTTTTTACTGCTTTAAATCGGTAGCGCAGACATCTGCGTCTCAGAGAAGAGCTGTCGGATGCTGCAGTGGCCAGACGGAAGAGAAGCTGATTCGAGCCAGGATCTGACCCCTGAAAACTACAGGCCAAGTGTCCCTGAGGAACTTCTGGGGAAACCTCCAGGTTTTCAGCTGCAGACACCTTATGGCAGTGGCTCTCAACCTTGGCTGCACATTAGAATCACCTGGGAATCTTTTGAAAATCCTGATTTCTGGGCCTCATCCTCCGGAAATTCCGTTTCTTTGTTATGGGGTGGGGCCACAACATTAGTAACAAAGAAACAGAATTTCCGGAGGATGAGGCCCAGAAGTCAGGATTTTAAAAAGGTTCCCAGGGGATTCTAATGTGCAGCCAATGTTGAGAGCCACTGCCTTACGGTAACATATAGAAAGGCCTTCCCCCTGGAACCACCTCCCGCGTGTGGAAGAGGGAACCTGGTGCCTGGGGGCTCTCAGGTGTAAGCAGGTGTCAAAGCTTAAGCTGGCTCAGGGAGGTCGGGTTGTGGAGTCACAGGTTAGAGGCTGAATCCACTGCCCGCCTCACGTCAGTGCAAACTACGCGAGGAAGCACAGCCACAGCCACAGCCACAGCCCACACAGCCACAGCCCACACAACCACAGTCCACACAGCCACAGCCACAGCCCACACAACACGCCTCCGGTCCCCGCTCTGCTGGGTGGGACGCCTTGCCCTCTGGAGCGTAAGGTCCCTGGGATGAGGGCACTGGATGGGGAGCTCAGAAGACACCCCTCCATCCCAGCTTTCACTCCTGCAGATGAATCAGGAAGGGGATGTGGGGCCCGGGCGGCCTGGTCTCTGTTTTGCAGGGAATCATCCAGACGCGTGGCCCCTTCCCTTCCCCGCAGGTGTCCTGAGCCTGAGCCGGCTCTCGGCTCTCGTTGGGGCCTTCCCAGCCAGCGCCCTGCCTTCCGGCGAGATCAGAATCCCTGCAGGAGAAATCTGTGGAAGCCAGTTCCCCGATGGTTTTCTTTTCCTTGTTTTTCTTGTTCCCGTTTGGTCCAATGTGTGGGAGAGGCTTCAGGTGGGTTAAGGATGGCTGTAGTTTCAGGGGGAGCCTCAGGAATGCCTAAGACAGGGGATGCAAGGGCCCTCAAAGGCCTCTGGGCTCCTGGTGCTGGAGGGCGAGCCTGGTGAGTTCAGCTGTGGCCCATCTTCCTGATGAGCTGCCCCTCCTCCCGGAGGTGGTTCCTCGGGGGGTCACGGGCAGGAGCGTCTGCGGGCAGAGCCCCGGCTGCAGCTCCAAAGGGCCTGGGTCGGGCCCCCTCCAGGGCCTCGGGCTCCCATGGCGGCCTGGGGGCCGGGGTGTCGCCCTCCTGCTGGGGAGGCTCCCGTCCTGGAGGGGATGCGGCCCCCGCGCCGGGTTCGAGTCTCTAAGATGCTCAGCGCCCTCGGCTTCTCCACCAGCTCAGAGCCACCCTGTGCGGGGCCAACAGACGCCGGAGAGGTGGGTGTGGGGCCCGCAGGGGCCGGTGGCCAGGCGGGTGCGGGGCCGCCACCGAGTGGGATAATTGGGGTGAGTGTGGGGGTTCGGCAGGAAGGGGTTAGGGTGGAAAGAAAGCGCTGTGTCGGCTGGCCTGGGAGGCGGATGTGAAGGTGGGGACTGGATGGGACCTGGAGGGGGTCGGGGCTGGGGAACGGGGTCCCTGGGTCTGTTCCCTGAAACCCTAGAAGCGGGAGGCAGAGCCCAGCCCACTGTGCTGCTGACTTTTTTCAAAAAGAGAAAAGGTGACGTTTGCATTTCACAGAGATGTCCAGGCTGAGTGGAAGGGCTTCGACGCCGGGCAATTATCAAATGTGCGTCCGCCCCGTGAGGCGGGGGTGGGCCCAGGCCGGGACTCTCCTCCTGGGAGCCCGCCCGCCGGGGGCTTCTGTCTCCGGCCCCTCCTGATTGGGCCCCGGGGGGGTGCCCAGGCCCTGGGGGCAGAGGGGCCCCCTCTGTCCTCGGTGGGTGCCATGCTCAGCCCGGCTGCCAGCAGCTCCATTGGACCCTCTTAACGCAGCGGTTCTCAGCCTTCCTGATGCCGCAGCCCTTTCATACAGTTCCTCATGTTGTGGGGACCCCCAACCATAACATTATTTTCTTTGCTGCTTCATAACTGTCATGTTGCTACTGTTATGAATCGTCATGTAAATATCTGATATGCAGGATGTATTTTCATTGTGACAGATTGAACATAATGAAAGCATAGCGATTAATCACAAAAACAATATGTAATTATATATGTGTTTTCCGATGGTCTTAGGCGACCCCTGTGAAAGGGTCGTTCGAGGGGTCGCGACCCACAGGTTGGGAACCGCTGCTCTAACGGGTCTCCATGTCCAGCATCGGCAGCTGCTTTGCCTTCGGCCTTGATTGGCCTGGTCCGTCCGGGAATGAATGAATGAATGAATGAATGACGCCCCCTCATGCTCCTGGGGGCGGCTGCCCGCTGACCTGGGGGTCAGAGACGTGGTCCTTTCTCACATCAAAGGTCGAGGGTGTCTGAAAGGAAGAGCACAAACCACAGACGTTTCCAGTGGAAAAGGGACCGCGCCCTGGACAGGCACAGTGAGGACAGGTCAGG